TTTCTTCTGTGGATGGTGCTTAACTCTAGGTCGTGAAGATTGTTCATCTATATTTTCTTATAAAAGTTTTATAGGTTTACATTTTACATTTAGATCTGTGGCCCATTTTGAGTTAATGTCTATATAAGGTATGGGATTTAGATTGAGATTCCTTTTCTTGCATGTGGATGTCCAATTTTTCCAGGACCATTTATTAAAAAGGCAATTGTTTCTCCCCTTGTCTTTAGACCTTTGTCAAAAATCAATTTCTCATATTTGTGTGGATCTATTTCTGGACTCTTTTCTGTTCTAGCTACTATGTGTCTATCTCTTCACCTCTGGTTAGATACATACACATTTAGGATTGTTATGTCTTCATGGTGAACTGACCCTTTCATTATTATGTAGCATCCTTCTGTATCCCTGGTGATTTTCTTTCCTGTGAAGTCTACTTTGTCTGATATTAATATCTCAATTCCTTTTCCCTCTTTCCCCTACCCTAAAGAATAAGAATTTCAGTTTATTTTAATACTTTTTTATAAGCCAAAAAGCAAAATGCCAGTGGTTCATCACCATCATTATCTCTGATCACTTCAGATTCAGTGATGGGTGGGCTGTCCGGGGGGCGGGGGGCGTCCTAGCCCGCCACAGCCGGCAGGTGAGGTCACCATGACAGCACAGTTCACAATTATTCACATAATAATTGTTCACGTGATAGTTGTTAACAATTATTTGTTCCCATCACTGGAAGAGGATTCCACATCCCTACCCTGTTGAACTCAGGAATGGCCATGTGTCTTGCTTTCTCTGACAAGTTGGGGGAGGAAGTGATATGTGTCACTTCTTAACCAGCAACCTTAAAAGGCAGCTCATGGTTCTCTGTGTGTTTCTTCTTCTCTGCTGGGAGATGGGCAGTGTTGTGGGTACAGGCTGCTTCAGTAGCCTGGTTCCTAGAGGGAGGGTAGTGCAGAGCAGAACCACAGCTGGCCAGGGATGGACATGAGGTATGGACCAGAAATAAACATTGTTATTATAAGCTACTGAGATTTTTGTGCAGTGTGTTACCACAGCACAGGGGCCAAGCCCTGGGCCCAATCCATTCTAGGCCTTAGGGCCCTACTCTTTCTTCTCATAAACAGAAGCCAAGAAGGGCACTTTCCCTAAATTAGAAACGAAGAAGTGGTGGAGAAGCTAAGAGGGGCCAGCAAATGACTGAAGTTAAAGGACAAACTGCCCAGCTGTTGGCCCCTTGCCCTAATGAAACACAATTTATGTTCGGCTCATCTGTCTTGAGCCTCTTCTCCTAGAGTTTCAGGATGTCATTGTCACTTCCCCTGCAGCAGGGGCACAGGCCTGTGCTATCTAATCCTGCGTTGACATTACTGTTGACTCTTCATAGCTCTGCTTGTAGTGGCTGTCCACTGGGATCCCCCCGTCCTCTTCCTTCGTGACCCCACACCTGTCACCTCAGGAAATAGTTGTCGAGTGGCTCTTATTACAGAATTTATCACTGATATTAATTTATTTTTTCAGGTGAAGTACATACAGTTTAGTAAAATAAAACAAAGAGAAGATTTATATGAGTGAGCAAAATTCAGGGCTAACGAAGGGGAAGGACAAAGACCTAGGGGTGAGAGCATGCAGAGTTGCCAGGGTTTTTATCTCAAACATACCAATGGGATAAATACATCCACTAGCAGTATTTACAATAAAAATAAAAGAGGGCACCCAGGCTTTGTTTTTTCCTAATAAAAATAATGATGGTTACATTGAACTAACTTATAAATTCTTCCCCTAACCACGTATCTTCATCTGATTTCCTGAAATAACTATATGAAAAAGAAATAATGTGAATGATATTAATATAGTTAGCAGTTATTAAGCACTGATTTGTGCCAGACACAATCCAAGATGCTTGATACGAATTAACTCATTTATCCTCACAAACAACGCTATGAGGTCTAGGTACTGTTCTGATCTCCATTTGATAGATGGAGACACTGAAGTAATTTGCTCAGGGTCACAGCTAGATTGTGGTAGAGCTTTGAACACAAGCAGTCTGTTTTCAGTGCCTGTGCTCTTAAATACAGTACACGAAAGTTATGTGTGGGTATAGCTTCAATTAAATTATATTTTTAAAAGATTGGAAAGCAGCGTATGGTTAAAATCTTCATATCTGTAGCCAAAGGCTTAGCCTGGACAAATCTACACCTTCCTCCTGTTGCCTGCAATTTGCCTGTTTGTGTTTAGCTTGTAAAATGGCATCAGATATGGAGGCCTTTTGTTCCCTCTCCCTTTAGATAGCTAATGTAGGCAAAAGACCCCAGAGCTCTAAAGAGATGGACCTGTTGGGTGGTTTAAAAAAATCAGTGAGTGAGAATGCAGGCGATGCAGCACAGTCCACCTCTAACTAGGGGAGTAACTCGAAGACAAAACCCCAGGAACGTCCTTCTAAGAAGAGACAGCCAACCGGGGATCACGGAATATCTCCCGGTCTGTGGTCATTTCCGCTGCTATAAATCACATCAAAATGGAACCTCCCACATCTTCTTCCAACGCAATGCGTTCTTTTTTATAGACTTAAAAAGAGAAGCAAGTCTTAGCTCGGGCTGCTGTAACAAAATGTCATCAACTGGGTGGCTTAAACAAACAGAACTGTATTTCTCAAAGTTCTGGGAGCTGAGAAGTCCAACATCAGGGCACCAGCATGATCGGTTTCTGGCGAGAGTTCTCCTCCGGGTTGCAGGCAGCTGACTTGTATCCTCGCATGGCAGAAAGAGCAAGCTAGCCCTCCTGGGCACTAATAAGGGTACTAATCCCCTTCGTTAGGGCTCTGCACTCATGACCTAAAGGCCCCCACCTCCAAATACCATCACATTGGGAATTAGATTTCAACATATGAATTTTGGGGAGACACAAACATTCAGTCCATACAGTAAATATTCCTTTTGTTGAGTGCAGTAGCACCCCAATTTAACATGGGCTGCGTGTGCAGTTTTGAGTGTGAGGATCTCCGAAACACCCAGACTGCTTCTCTATAGTGGAACAAGGGGTTCAGATAGTCTAGCTCTGGGTGGGGATAAACTCATCCATTTCAACAGTAAGCCCAAACTAAAGAATCAAAAAAAGTCAAAAAAAAAAGTCACTAAAGGTGACTTTCAGTTAACAGGGCAGTGACATTTCATAATCCAAACCACATTTAGTGCTGTGTGTAAGCAGTCACTGCTGTGTCATCGGAAGGCTGTTTGTCTCGGTGGACTCACGGTTGATGAGTACACCGGGAAGGAGCTGAGTTCTTTCTCTGGATCTCCTGATGCTTTCCTATTCTGGGGTTAGCCAGCTGACCTCAGAACAGATAAAGATGCTTGTGTTATACATTGTTGGTGCAAAGTGATTCTTTAAAAAAGAACTCCAATAGTCCACTAGTGGACGAGGGCTTGGACCTTTACTTAGCCATTCCTAGACTTCAGTTCTAATCGACTTTAAAATCATTGATGTGTAGTTGTTGGCTAAAAAACTATGTCAATACACTGAATGCTGTTGCCCCTGAGGGCAGTATCAGTTGAATTTTAGATGTTTTTGAAGAGGGCATAAATTAGTTAAAGGAGAAAGTCAAATATTTAATTCCTTAGGTGGGACCATTTGAAACTATGCCAGTGTGTTTTTACTTAATGACCTTGGCAGTATCGCTTTGAAAGGCCCCAACAGAGTTTTTTCATGAGCCCTCTTCTAAATAATTTGGTACCCTTTTGAGTAATATATTTTTTAAGCTGTCAAGGCTCTAATTGTTATATAGTTTATTACATACATATTTCTTTGCATATTTTCAGGAAAAATTAATAGGCTTTATCTTTATGTGAGTCTTTTCCTACCTTATACATTTTATTTCTAGGCACCGAGTTTATTAGAAGTGGCTTAAAAAAAAATAATAGCTTTATTGAGATATAATTTACTTACCATACAATTCATCTATTTAAAGTATATAATTAATGGTTTTTAGTATATTCACAGAGTTGTGTATCATCACCACAATCAATTTTACAACACTTTTATCACCCCAGAAAGGAAAAAAACTGTTAACGGTCACTCACCCCCCATTTCCTTTCACCGCACCTTCTACCCCCAGCCCTAGACAACCACTAACCTAATTTCTACCTCTATAGATTTGCCTATTCTGGACATTTCAAACAAATGGAATCATACAATATATTGTCGTTTGTGACTGGCTTCTTCTAGTTAGCATGTTTTCAAGGATCATCCATGTTGTAGCATATATTAGCACTTCATTCCTTTTTATCGCTGAATAATATTTCATTGTTCGTATAGACCACATTTTGATTATCCATTCATTGATTGATGGACATTTGTGTTTTTTCCACTTTGGGGCTATTATGAATAATGCTGTTATGAACATTGTGTACACTTTTTTGTGTGTGAAGATCTGGCTTTTTAGAGACTCAGCCGCCCTTTTAAATACCAGTGACATCATAGCTAAATAGGACCCCTGATGTCATCTTGCTCAGTGCCTCCTTTTCAGGGTAGGTGCCTTCTCTGGACACACACAGCTAGAATGATGGAGTGGGGCCCCACATCCAGGTCTCTTGCTCCCAGGTTCAGTGCTTTACCAATTGGTGTGGAAACGTGAAAGCCAAAGAAGACCTAAAGCCCACAGTGCACAGATTTGTAAAAGGCTTGCAGGCTTTTTCTGTTTACTGTTTCTTCTGTTTGTCACTTAACAATAGTGTGATCTGGTCTGAAAGCAAAAGAACAAGAACTTCAAAGTTAGAACGTTCCTTAGAGATTTTCTAGTTTAGTATCCTCATTATACAGATGAGGAAACCCCAGAGAAGTGATGTCACTTCTCGCCCCAAATCACGCTGTTGGCGGCTGAGCAAGGACTGGAACTCCCATCTCTTTACTCCTTGTCCTGGCCATCATTGTGCCTCCTTAGGGTGAGCATTCATTGCTCAGGAGCTGGGTGAAGGGTGTTGCTGAGTCATTTTGTGTCTCTTCTCTAATAGAATCCCGTCACAGGGCTGCTCTCTGCCAGTCATGAGCAGAAGGATGCCTGGGTGCGGGATAACATCTACAGCATCCTGGCCGTGTGGGGTCTGGGCATGGCCTACCGCAAGAATGCCGACCGTGATGAGGACAAGGCCAAGGCGTACGAGTTGGAGCAGGTAATGCTGGCTGGCAGCCATGTCTTGGCTGCTCAGCACCTTTTCCTTGAACTAAAAAGCCTGCAGGGAATTAGCTAAGTGTGCAGAACAGTCTGGTGCAGGTGTCCCCTCAATTTCTGCTATAGAATATTTTGGGGAGGCACTTAAATGGTCTCAAGCTCTCATTTGTCTTTCTCTTTGAGAATTTTCCCTCCATAAAAGAACCCCAAAATCCCACTGAATAAGAAAATGAAGCATCCAAGTTTCTAACATTTCTCTCACACATGCTCTGTCAATTTTATACATACATGTATATGAGATGTCATTATAAACTAACATGATTATTTTTAAAGAGTCAGCACACCAGAACTACACGTTCCGAAGTGTATATTCTTCAAAGTAGTCCTGTTGAAAGAGTATTTATCCAAACAGTATTGCCGTGGCTTAAAACATTTTTGGAATGTCCCTTAAAAATGCCTTTCTAGTTTGAGCCATTCCAAAACAGTCTTACTAATTTATAATCACCTTTTAATTTTGAACCACATTGATGTTGTCCAATTTTTGTGCCTATGTTATCATACAGCACAATCAAGTCCTTTTATTGTTTTCCAAAATCAGAAATCAACATACACACCAAACCAAAGATTTGCCATCACTGAGTATGTAAGAAACTCATCTGCCCCTGAGCACAGGAGGTATTTTCAGAGTGTTTTGAGCAATAGCATTGAGGTAGGGAGCATTGATATATAAAAGTGTAGTTCTCTTGGCATGAGAGCCTTTGGGATTTATCTTTGACTCACACAGTCCTCGTGGCCCTCACAGCTGGTGGATCGTCAGGTCTAAGGAGAGTTCTTACAGTCCAGTCGGTGCTTGTTTATAGCAACCCAAGTGGGCGTGAGTGGCAGGCAGCCTTGACAGCAGTGGGGAGCCTACGAGAGGAAGCCTGCCTGTGGGAACAAGAGAAGGGCAGTTTGGGTTTGCCTAGACGTGCTGAGTGTGAGGTGATGAAATCACCCAGTCTTGGAGGTAAGGCATACAGCAAGCATTGACTGCTCCTCCAAGAATTTGGATGGGTATTACGTAAGTGAATCATCATTTAACAGTATAATAATTTGATGTCAATGTCCTCCAAACTTCCATCCTCCTTTGAGACAAAAGTCAAAGTAAAGCCGTGCTTGTACACACACACACACACACACACACACACACACACACCCCCTCTACCTCTCCTCTGTAAGTGATTTCTCATCCGTGTTAGAGTTCATTAGATTTTCTGCTCTGTGATGGACAATAGCGAGGCATGAACAGGCCATCTTCTTTTATTTGTTGAGTGTGGTTAATGACTAAGGGAGACATCTCCCTTGATTATGGAAAATAACACGGTATCTTCCAGTGATCTTCAACAGGGATGCTATTGCATTTGGGGCTTGGGCGGTACAGTTATTCATTGTGAGACTGTCCCATGCATTGCAGGACACTTAGGGTTCTTGGTCCTTACTCACTAAATGCCAGTTGCCCCCACTCCCATCATGGTGACAATAAAAATACCTCCAACTCCACATTTCCAGATGCCCCCTCCAAGGGATGGAAATGTCACCCCCAGTTGGGCACCACCATGCTTCTTCATAATGAAAAATAACTTCTTTATTTGAGGGAAAGTCAATTGACAAATGTTCCTGCTATACACTCCAGGAAATGTTAATTATACCTCAAAAGAGTTTATGACGTAAAGTGAGATTATATTCCAGAATCTTAGGATTTTAGCGGCGGAAGGATATGAAGGGTGATACATTCCAGATTTTTCTCTGGCAGTTAACTTTTGTGACCCTTCACTGCATCCTCCCCTGCAAACCATGTACATTCTGTAAGAGAGGAAATGCCCATGGCCCTAGGTGCGAGCTTCTTTCAGCCAAGCTACTTTGGCCTACAGAATATCCCATTCTCCGGCCACTTGTGACGTAGTTTTGTAGTGTTTTAATAGGACTTATTAAGACCAGTCTTTCAGTGGGCCTGAATTGTGAAGGAAGTGGGAGGCAACATAATGTATTGACTAAGAGCTCGGACTCTGAAGTCAGACGGCCTGAGCTCTGTCCCTGCTCTGCCCCCTGCCAGCTGGGAGACTTGAGCAATGTTGCTTCATCTCTCTCAGCATCAGGTTCCTCATCTCTAAAGTGGGGTAATAACGCCCACCTCGTTAGGTTGTTGCAAGAATTAGAGAGAATCCAGGTAAAGTGTTTTGCACAATGCCTAGACAGAATGTCTGATTATCATAGTGTTATTGTTATTATTTATAATGATAATAATTGGTTGCAATACATATTATTAAGAAACCTTGGCAGCTACTTGTATTTTGTAAGAACTTTACTCAATAGTCTAGTAATGGTGTCACAAATGGCTATTTTGGCAAAGCATCAATACTTTGAGGCAGGCATAGTGGACTTAATTCATCCTTAGCATAACAAAAATACATTACTAAGAATTATGACATAAAGCTCTAGGGTACTAGGCTTATAAAAATTGTTTTGCTAAAATATCAGTGAGGAGTCACTGGATTTCAGAGCTGGGAGGTGGCGTCTGCCTTTATTTGGGATTAGTCACTTCATCAGGATTTTCTTTCTTTGTGATGGAGCGGAGAGGTGGAAATCATCTAAACAGAATACTTGTGTGTCCTCGGGATCTGCCCTCTCAGGGAAGTCTCCAGGCAGTGCTGGTTGACCGGCCACGTGGTGAGGAGGTTGTTTTCATGGAGCAGGGAAGCCAGCCTTGTTACTGATCCTACTTTATTTCTGCAGAACGTGGTGAAACTGATGCGGGGTCTTCTCCAGTGCATGATGAGACAGGTAGGCGGAAAACGAAAAATGTGTTTGCAGGTCATCTGAGTGGGCGTTTTGTCATTTTCATGGTGACAACTAACATTCTTAAAGCATTTTTAGCTTTTCTTCTCAAGATGAAGACAAATTGAAAATGTTTTGCTTACTTTCTCCTTTTAAAAGTATCTTCAATAATTTTATTATACTATAGGATCACAGATACAAAGGATACTGTTTCTCAGAATCTGTTTTGAAGAGTTACTTGTGTAAAAGGAGAACATGCCCTTTTTTTAAAATGGGGAAGAAAACATTGTTTTTAAAAGCCACTCCTAGAAAGCCATGTACTATTGTTTATTCTGTTGAGTTTATTAAAGAGTTTCTTTTCATTTGAGTTGACATGTGTGAGTGTTTAAAACTTGACATTACTGTTTACTGGTATTTTCAGTGAGGGGTAAATAAAACAATGCATTGAGCATGTACTGTATACGGAACAGTGGACTAGGATCTGCACAGATTCGAAGATGAATATGATGGGGCCAGCCCAGTGGTGTAGTGGTTAGGGTTGCACGCTCCACTTCAGCAGCCTGGGGTTGGCAGGTTCGGATCCCAGGCGATACCTAGCACTGCTTGTCAAGCCATGCTGTGGTGGCATCCCATATAAAACAGAGGAAGATTGACACAAGTGTTAGCTCAGCGACAGTCTTCCTCAAGCAAAAAGAGAAGATTGGCAACAGACGTTAGCTCAGGGCCAGTCTTCCTCACACACACAAAAAAGATGAATATGATACCATCCCCATCCTTAATCAGCACACGCCCTGTTAGTCTTCACAGACATAGTTACTCTTTTCCTTTCAACGTAAGGAAACAAGAAGTTGAAATTTAAACAGGTCCTCTTCCTCCCCTACTTCTCTCTCTCTCTCTTTCCCTTTCTTTCTCATTGAGGGCCTGCTGTGTATCACAGCTCGTGCTGGGGATACGCAGACAAGGAAACCCTTTGGCTTGACTCCTCACCCCTGCAGAACTTGTTAAAATCCCACTGGGCTGGAACATATCCCGAGATGGGCAGGAAGAATCCTCTCACACAGCACCTCTGTGTGGTGCTCACTGGTGAACACCCACTGCCTTCTGTCCCTCTGGCACCCAGAGGTAGCAGATGAGAGGCCTAGATCCAGGAGAGTGACCCTGGGTGTGGCCTCTGCCAGCCATGAACCCCTTAGCTATGTGGAGCCAGCTTGCTTTTTCCCTCAGGTGGATAAAGTGGAGAAGTTCAAGCACACTCAGAGTACCAAGGACAGCTTGCACGCCAAGTACAACACCGCCACCTGCAGCACCGTGGTGGGCGACGACCAGTGGGGCCACCTCCAGGTGGATGCCACCTCCCTCTTCCTCCTGTTCCTGGCCCAGATGACTGCCTCTGGTGAGCCAGGGCCATTTGAGCCCGTTGTAAAGGGAGTGACGATCCAGAAGGGGCGAGGAGGAGCAGGCATTGATCAGTATTCAAAATAAGCTATTTCTGTAAATAAAAAGCATGCTTCTTTATGCTATTATGTGCATTGACTCTGTGATGTGCCAGCAGTCAGCATCCTAAGCACTTGTAGAATGTAGGCTGTTGAGCCAGCTCTATTAGCGTCTCTCTGATTGATCCCAACGCTTCCTTGCTGTCACTGTCACCTAGTTACTGGAGCAACCTAGATCAAATCTGCCTTCAACAGTTCAAATATCTGCAGACAGTCATGCCTCTCTTAGAGTTTTCTTCTCCACGATTAACAGGACTGGCCCTTTAGCTCTTCTTCTCACTACCCTGGTCATGCTCTTCTAGACACACCCTCCTTTATCCAAATTATATTCAAATAACATAATTTCTAGAACTCGGCAGTGTGCCCAGAGTGGTCAGTCAGTCCATAGCACTCATGCTGTGAGTGAGCCCAAAATTTCCAGACGGTGAGCGTTGTTCCTCTTGCAGCCCGAGCTGTTGGCTTCCATGGTGGCTTGGACACCAGGCCTCCAAAGGTCCAGGCTTGGTCCGTCTCTGTGACCCAAATGGCCTCTCCCACAAGGGAGTCTGCTGCGATGCTCCCCTGGGGGTTAGGTCACTTAGCTACTGTCTCCCAGAGTTCTTATCACCAGTCCAGTAAACTGATGCTCCTGCGTTCAAGGCTTCCTATTTATGTCAGACTGTAAGTGTGAAACTCTAAAAATAGCAGAAATCAGCAAGTAAGAAGAGCTTTGTGAATAAACTAATTTATAAAAAATACTTTCTGGTTGTGAAAGTTAATATCAGCTCACTGTAGATATGTTAGAAAATATTAACAAAATACAAAGAAAAAAATCCCACTGCCAATTTTCATTTGGATGTGCCTTCTCCAAGTATTTTTTTTTTTCTGTCTTTTTTTACATATTTAAGGTCATATGCATAAATATAGTCTTTTTATTACATAGCATTATAACTTAAGCATTTCCCCCATGATCTTATAAACATGCACTTTTATGTTTAAGCTCTTCACAAATATGATTTTGGTAACTTTATCAATGGATATATCATAGTTAATTGAATTTTTCCTTTATTCCTTTTTTTTTTTTTGCAATTACTACTAATGTTGCAATACCAACTTTGACCCCCATCTCTGTTGGCTTCCTTCTGTTAGATATCCTTCAAAGGCTATTCTTACGTATTGCCAAATTGTTTCCAGAACAGTTTACTAGTTAAACTCCCCCCAGCAATGTAAGAGTGCATATCTTACCATACCCATACCAGCTTCAGGAATTCATACTTAAAATATGTGTATTTGCCATAACCAACTAAACATTCAAGGATCCAGCAAAAATCCAGCTCTCTTGGTCACTGTCTGCTTCAGCGCATTGATGCAGCCCCCTGGCAGGTCCTGGGAGCTGGCCTTTCCGCAGGGTGAAGGGCATCTTCTGAAGGTGGGGGCTCTACTTTCCCTATCTGCCATTGGAGAAAAGGACCCACCCTTTGGCTCACTCAAGGATAGGACAGTGTCTGGTTGCTGTGGGCCACAATCCTTGCTTTCTTAGAACCTTCTCTGTACAAATCCAACACCTACCAGAAGGCCCTACACCTCTTTCAGTCCTTTCTGCTTATAGGCACAGGCACAAAAGTGGAGCCCTTCCTTTCTTCCTTCCTCCCTCCCTCCCTTCCATCCATTAGACATTCACTGTTATGATTTACTTCAGACTTAATTTTTGATGCCCTAGTAAGGAAGATGAAAATGGGTATAAAAGGATTTATTTCCCAGTGTGATATTTGTAATTTGTAATTGGCAGCTAGCTATCGCTTCACAACATAACTCCATAACTTCTTTGTTTTTCTTTACTAGGTTTACGTATTATTTTCACCCTCGATGAGGTGGCCTTTGTACAGAATCTTGTTTTTTACATAGAAGCTGCATATAAAGTTGCTGTAAGTATCAACCCCGGTAGTTTTTTCAGATGTCCCAGTTGTCAAAAGAATAAAAATCATATAGTTCTTTGAGGGCCAGGCTGTTTGGGGCTGACCAGAAGCTTAGCAAGATTCGAGCTGCAAGATTATGTCATCTCTGCATACAAAGTGCACATTTGGGTCCTGGGACGCAGTCCGGGAGTTTATGTTTTTGGAATATACCACATGCTGTGCTTGACTCCGTTATGCTTACTTTCAATAAGACCCTCAAATGTCCTATGGCACGTACATGGGCCACCCTGAATTGGCGTACAGGCAGCAGCGTCAGTACCTCGGTAGGAGCTGCAGTGCCATGGGGATCTCCCTTGGTGGCCCACAGGTAGAGGAGTGGAGCCAGGTGTATGCCCCAGGCCAGGTGTGTGCGTGTGCAAATGTGCGTAAACCCCGGTCCCTCCAGGCTTCTGTCTGGTATGGAAAGTGGAGCCTGACGTACTTCCAGAGAACTAAACTGCAAAGCTGACTGTGAGGGCAATGAGGAAAGGGTGGAGTTGGTTTCAACACAAAAAGGCCACTATACTCCAAAGCAGGGGTCAGCAAACTTTTTCTGTAAAGGGCCAGAGAGTAAATATTTTCAGCTTTGCAGTCCCTGCAATCTCTGTTGCCACTATTCAACTCTGCCACTGCAGCAGGAAAGCAGCTGCAGATGACATGTGAACATGCGAGCATGGCTGTGTCCCAAGTAGGCCTTACTTACAAAAACAGGTGGCAGACTAGATTTGGTCTAAGGGCTGTAGTTTGCTGACCCCAGATCTAAAGCGGCAATTCTCAACCAGGGGCAATCTTCCCCTCCCAAGGGACATTTGGCAATGTCTGGAGACATTTTTGGTTGTCACACTGCAGAGGGTGCTACTGGCATCCAGTGAGTGGAGGTCAGGGATGCTGCTGAACATCCTACAGTGCACAGGACAGCCCCCCAACAAAGAATGATCCAGCCCCAAATGTCAGTAGTGCTGAGATTGATCAACCATGGTCTAAAGAAACTTGAGGAGTCTTTGTGGAAAAGGTGGGACTTTAGTTGGACCTCGGAGGATGAGCAGGGTTTAAATAAGCAGAGGGGAAGGGAAAGGACATTTTGGGTGCGGGAATAGCAGTCACAGAGGCTCTGCGGGTGCGAAGGGTGCTTGAGGAAAGGGAGTGCAGAGTGAAGGAGTGGACTTAGGGTAAAAGTGAGTACTGGAGAATAGTAGAAAATAAGGTCAGCTTGTGGGCGTGCAGGGGGCACAGGCCAGATAGTGGAGGTGTGGCCATCCAGAGAGATTTGAATGGGATCCACTAGGGAATAAACACTTCGTCATTTTAGACTCTTACGCGTGGGAGTGAGCTGACCAAAGCAGTTTTTGAGGGTGAGTCACTTGACTCTGGGGTTGGAGTGAAGCTGGGTTGGCACAGAAAGGCCCAGAGGCGAGGGGTACTCAAGGAGGGAGTCCTGGAACCCAGCTCGAGGGTGTGCGCGGCAGGGGAGAGTGTAAAGTCGCTCTGGTGTGTCTAAGTCTCAATTTTCACATTTTGAAAATGTTCATCTTTGGAGATCAAGTAATAAATACTGACAGTTTGGCACGGGTCCTGTTCTTATTGGGTTGTTATCTTTCCATAGTGCACGTAGCATGATTTCAAAACAGTATCCAGTGCTTGGGTTTCTTAAATGAGAGTGTGAATTACAAAAGCTAGGTATGTGTGTATCAAATCTCTCTGTGCACCGAGTGTTCTCAGCTAGTTCATACAAGTCAATTTTAAAAGAGCAGGGAGGTTCAGATATTCTGTGCCTCCATTTTGACTTTGGCTCCTGTTACTTGCTGAGCATTTTTTCCCCTCAATAGGTAATGCTAGAAATGGGTATTAAATTATTTAAAATGGTTTGGTTGGCTTCAACCATTTATAACTCATTTCTTAAAGTTCTTTATTTTATCTTACAATTTAGTATAAGTTCAAAGAGATTAGCTAAAGGGAGGGGCAGCATTTTATTTGATTTTAAGATAAGTAAAATATTTCGGTCTCTACAAATCAAGAGTTTCTTACAAATTAACTTTTAGGAATATGAAAATTGAGAGCATTTTTGTCTCACTTGAGTATTTGCTTCCAAAATTCTGCACAGAGGTCAAATGAACTGAAATCGAGGAAGAACACAGTCTGAGTATGTAAATGAATTTGGGAGCCTTCAAGAAGAGATATTCATGTTTCATTATGTCTACGATAACATAAAGAAATCATTTTTCCATAGCACTTCTCATATACCTCTTTCTCCTGCTTTGATTACTACCTTTTTATCCTGCAGGATTATGGAATGTGGGAACGTGGAGATAAGACTAATCAAGGCATTCCAGAATTGAATGCAAGCTCTGTAGGAATGGCCAAGGTGACAGTCTCATCCTGTTTGTTCTTCTTTCTGTGCGTTTTTACTGCTTTAATTTCGTTCTCTAGGAATTTGGATTTAATCTGATTAGCATACTTTTCAAAAGTCAACAGCAAGTATGAAATTCAGGTGGCACATGTACCCCGGCCAACTGAAATTGTAGGTAAAGAATGTAGGTTTCCTACACTGAAGTCTGCATATGCGTGAAGATCAGTGCACTCCCTCCTTTTCATCCATTGTTATCACCCACAGGTCTAAGCTCTGGCTGTTGTCTCAGAAGCTGCTGGATGTATGATGTCCAGTCTTCTTATCTGGGTCATAAAGAGGGCTGAGGAAGATGACCACTTTGTAGGGCAGGGCTCACGAGTTCAAAAGTCTACAGGGTCAGGTCAGGCAAGTAACATAAGGAAGTGAAGCTGACCAGATAGAAAGATATTGGGGACACTGGGAACTTTCTCTAAAGGTATTACAATTCAAAATCATTTAAAAAAAGTTCTTCAGGCCAAACAAAGCACACCTGTGGGGCAGATGGAGCCTGCCAGCCACTACTTTACATCTCTCCCCCTAGACATTTCGCAGGCCTCCCTCTTTCTCAAGACTGAAGTGTATTTTTGGACAAAGTAAAGACTCCAGAGCTAGAATTTTTAAAGCAACAATAAGTACGTTAAGGTCAACTGACAGAAACATACTTAATACTAAAAGAATTAACTATCTAAAGTGCAAGATATACTAATATTAGAAGTTAACCTCTAAAATAGGTGAAAGAAAAGCTGTCCATGAATTTAGTGCCCCTTCACACACACACCCACAGCATCATGAACTTATTAATACTTCATTTTTTGGTGGAATACTAATTTCATTTTGGGAAATGTTTTTCTATTTTCTTTTTCTTGTTCCTGCATTGAGCAGCAACATACAGGAAAGCTCTGATCCACTGAAAATAAGCATAGAACACGACCGTAGGACACTGTAGCTGGATTTTAAAAATGTGTTTCATCACCTTTGGGAAAACATGTATGCTTTCCCAAACATGTAACCTGCTTAATGAAAAAGAAGTACTAGATATGGGAATGTATGTTTACTAGAAAGAAAAAGTAATTCATACCTGTGCTTGTAGGCAGCTCTTGAGGCAATTGATGAACTGGACCTTTTTGGAGCTCATGGAGGACGCAAGTCAGTGATCCACGTCTTGCCCGATGACGTCGAACACTGCCAGGTAACAGCTGAAGCCTCTCTCGCTGCAGAGAGTAGGAAGGAGATTCATGGCGCAGTTCAGATTCCTCACCTTGCTAGTTTGGGGGTCTCGGCTTCTTTGCGCTTCAGTTCCCTCATCCATAAAATGGGCATACTGGGACCTTCCCCTCCTGCTGCATAAGGTGGTCATAAGGATCAGAGTAAGTCAACTTAATTTGTCAGGGCACTTTGTCAGCCAGAAAGTATATGCAAACATAGACACAACAACAATGTTGAATATATGGAGTGGACAGTCAAGGCAACCTTGTATTGCTAGAGGCAGAATCTGTTTTATGTTTTTTGAGCATGTAGGTGGTTTTCTCTCGTGTTTATTTCATAATGCCCCCAAATCAAATGACTAGCAAGCAGTAGTTCGCTTGGGGGCGGGCGGGATGGGCAGAATGAATAGTGGAGGAGAGATGAGATGGGAGAAATGGCAAAGTGGTAGAACCTCCATGAATACAAGTCAGAGAAAGGAGTGATTTGATGCGCGTTAGGGGACTCCATTAAGCAGACAGTAGGTCACCAATTGCTGGTTAATCAGCAGACTTATTTAGTGAGGGCCCACTGTGAGCCAGGTGCTATGCTTGGGCTGTGGGAGTGAGATACATAAAAACTTGTAGGCAGAGAGCCTCCAGTGGGAGTGCATGTTTCCAGGCAGAGAGAGCCTAGGGAAGAGGGACTAGTTAAAGAACTGGGCTTGGGGGGTTAGTTGGCTATAGGAAATGAAGCTTTATTCTGAAGCTAAAGCGTTCCCCCCACTTTATCCCCCCTTCCAGCTCACTCCATTTTCCCCCGTTAAATAGTCCTTACTGGGGAATCTGCTATTTCTGGGGTATGGTTTAATAGAGTCAAGCTAGTGTGCATCTTAATAGTTGTGTAGTCTAGTGGAAATTGCCTGAGCTTTGTAGCCAGCTGGGCCTGGGTTAGAATCCCACTTCTGTTGCCTACTAGCTACATGCCCTTAGGCACGAGTCTCTGTGTCTCAGTCCTCGTATATGAATTGGACTTGGTGCCTGAATTCCTTCTTCATATGGAAGATTTAATAAGCTTATGTTTGCAGGGGTCTAGCCCCTTGTCTGTACATGTTAGATCCCAGTGTTAGCCCCTGTCTCTTCCCAAACTTTGCCTTATAATCTCAACTTCCTTCAGTTTACGGTGCCTAATCCAACCACCTTATAATTAGTCCATATTACAGTGCCTCTAAGAAACCCATTCTTTCTGGGACTGAACTAATTCTGTTGTTTACCATTTTCCCTGAGTGTTCACGCAGTCTTTCTGGATTTGACTGCTTCTTTTAAGTGGTTTCTGGGTCACCTAGTCCAACTTGTCACATTCCACACAAGCTAGACATTTCTCTGTGCTAGCCCCATATGTGTATCCTTCTCTGTCTCTATCTTCACAGCCAGGACACCCTAGCGTGCTGACACAGGTAGCCCTTAGTTCCTCCCCTGCATGTCCTAAAGGCCCAGCAAAGTCAACAGAAGGCATGGAAGGAAGGGAGAAAAGCAGTTCTTGGAGCTGGCCCTGTGGCCGAGTGGTTAAGTTCGTGTGCTCCGCTTTGGCAGCCCAGGGTTTCTCCGGTTCGGATCCTGGGCGCGGACATGGCACCGCTCATCAAACCACTCTGAGGCAGCGTCCCATGTGCCACAACTAGAAGGACCAACAACTAAAATATACAACTAGGTACTGGGGGACTTTGGGGAGAAAGGAAAGAAAAAAAAGCAGTTCTCAGCAAGGACTCCAGGCAGTACCGTGCTCTCCTCGATCCTCTTCTCTCCTGCAAGAAACAGGAGTCATTGGCTGGGTAGGTGAGATGGCCCAGCAGGGGCCATGTTGGTAGGACAAAACTCTGCTCAAAGTTGGCAGACTCACTCACATGTTCCCTTGTGAAGATAAGGTCATGGTCTCTAGATACTGTATGTACCTATTAGTGCTTCCCAGGTTAAAGCCACCTCTTTGTTTTTCAGTCTATTCTGTTCTCCATGCTGCCAAGAGCATCGACTTCTAAAGAGATTGATGCTGGACTTCTTTCCATTATTTCTTTCCCGGCCTTTGCAGTGGAAGATGTGAACCTTGTGAATGTGACCAAAAATGAAATTATTTCCAAGCTCCAGGTAAGCATTGGTCACGCTGGCGCCCTCCTGCCGTGTGATAAGCGCCCCTTTTACACGATGACGTGGAGCGGCTCACCCAGGCCTTAGTTCTCCATGAGGTCAATGGCTTGGTTTCTCTAAGTGGACTCAGAGAGCGAGGCATCCAAAGCTGAGTCTACAGGTGAGAAAAGGAAGTGTCGTGTGCTCAGGTGCTTTGGTTCTCTTCCTAAGTGGCTGAGCTTGACCTCAGGCGAGCACCTCTGCACCCCAGTTCGTACCACCCCTGTACTTCTAAGGCAGAGCTTCTTAACCTGTTAGAGATCACAGACAGACTCCTTTGAGAATCTCTTGAAAGCTATAAACTCTCTGCCAGAAAAAAATGCACATGTCCCAATATCCTCAAACTTTACACGCAATTTCTGGGAACTTGGCAATCCCAAAGTTAAGTTGAGGTTAAACAAATCCCTGCTCTGAGGTGAAATGCAGGATCTGTGACACGTTACAGCAGACTGAGAATGTTAAATACGCCAGCCAACTGAAGTTATCGGTCAAATGATCAAAGAACGTAAGTTCCCTAAGCCGAATTCTGCATGTTGATGATCCTACTTAGAGTCAGTGAAAAATGCTTTTAGCCCTTGGAAACAAAGGAGTCGAAGGGTCTTCTATCATATCTCCAAAAGAAAGTGTCTCAGTCAGAGTTCAATGGAGAAAAAGGAACCTCTAGCTTGTCCAAGTAGGCAGGGAGTTAATGCAGGCAATGGAGTGTTTAAAGGGAGCAGGTTCTAGGCCAGGACTCCCAGAACGCTATGGGGCTGGCCGCTGGGAGTCACTTGCCTCCACAGCCAAAGCTAGAGCAGCCCCCATGCCCTTAAGAAACTGGGGAAGGGACACCCAAAACTGTTATCCAGGGATTAGGGAGGCAGATTAAGAGAGCACTGCCACGGCCGTTCTTTCTTGACACCCAGGAAGCTGGAGAGGAACCCTGGAGCCGGCAGCAGGAAAACCAGCAGCCGGGGCCCTAAGCCACAGGAAGCGCCCTTTACCTCCCTGCCCTGCTCCTTGCAGGATGCAGGCTCCTTTGCATCCAGAGCCTAACTGTGAGGAGTCCGGAATGTCCTATTGGCTTTCCAGGCTTTCAGCTAGAAGCAGTCCAGTCCAAGTATCTGTCTCAGTGGCTTCTCCAAGCAGTGAGGGTCCCTTTGCATCTTTGCATCGTACAGCAAATCAGAATGAAAGGATGGTCATTCACTGAACTCTCGGTCCTTCCTCTGGCAGCCCTGATACTCTCATGGAAAGTTTTGGCATTCCCTTCCAAGCACTGATCAAACCTGAATTTACTTTGCTTATTACTTAAAAATAATTTTTTGTACTGATACCAAAGAGCACTTGGGTCCACATTTCATCACTAAAAGATTCATGCGAAAGGGGGTGAGAGGCTGACCTGAGTCAAAATAAAAAGGCAAAAAGATTCTTCTGTTTCATCAAATGCATTTTTTTCTTTATCTTCTTAGGGGCGTTATGGATGCTGTCGCTTCCTCCGGGATGGTTATAAAACTCCAAGAGAGGTTGTATTTAAATACTGTTTCTTATGATTCCACAACTGCTTCATATCTAAGTTGCCACTGTGGTGGTCTCCCTCTATTGATTATAAATGATGTGTTGGAATATTGAAAAGAGAAGTCTTAATTTTAGAGTCAGCAAGCCTGGAGTTAAGCAATAGCTAGTAAGATCATCAGGAGGACAGCAATCTGGTGGTTTAAAACCAGCTTGTAGACAGGGACAAACAGTTCTGTGGCTCACACGTTGTTTTAAAAACCAACCCTGGCCTCTTCCTTGGGTTTCTTTGCCATAGTGACTGATACAATGATACCAATAAAACAGCTAGTCGCTGAGCACTGTGAGAGGCAATTTGCTATTTATTTGTAAGACATATAGGAAGCTTAATATAATAAACTACCAAGGAGTCTTGTGTACGTTTCTGATTTAATTTTCTGAAATTTTACTGTGGAAAACGGCCAAGAATAGCATCTCCTCATAGCAGAATCCTTATCGTACCAACCTCAAAGCTGCATTGAATCAAAAGTGAGGGAAACCTAGTGGGGTACAATAGCGTTATGTATGTAATCTGACATCACCTTTCAGAAGGTTTACTGTTTGATTCCAGGACCCAAACCGATTGCATTATGACCCTGCTGAACTCAAGCTCTTTGAAAACATTGAATGTGAATGGCCTGTGTTCTGGACGTATTTCATAATAGATGGGGTCTTCAATGGTGATGCTGTTCAGGTGAGAAAATGCTGGGTGTTGTGTTGAGCATCAGCATTTTCATCCCACTGGTATGCTGATTATTGTTAGAACATAGGGTTATGCAAGAATTTAGGACACTGTTTCACTTATCTGTTGCCACTTGACAAACTTTCCCAAAACTTAGTAAATTGCAGGAACAACTATTTTGTTTATCTGCCCGTGAGTCTGCAGTTTGGGCAGGGCTCAGCAAGGGCAGGTTGCCTCTGCTTCACCTGGTATCAGCTGAGGCGGTTCAATGGGGCTGGAGGATCTACTTCAGAGAAGGCCTCGCTCACATGGCTGGCAGCTGGATGCTGGCCGTTGGCCGGGAGCTCAGCTGGCCTGTTGGCCTGCTCTGTAGTTCTCCACATGGCTAGCTTGGGCTTCTCACAGCATTGTAGTCTCTGGGCAGTTAGGCTTTTTACATGGTGGTCCTCTTGCCCCAAATGCAAAAGCAGAAGCTGCCAAGCTTTCTTGAAGCTTTGGCCTGGAATTAGCAGAGTGCCACTTCTGTTGCATTCTTTTGTTTAAAGAGCTGTCCCATATTCAAGGGGAGGGGACTCTACTAGGGCATGAGTACTAGGAGGCGGGGAGCATCTGGGACCACCAAACAGTTTCCCACAGACAGGTGGCAGTGTTGCCATAGTTCTTTTCAGATCAGCCTGTGGTTTCGCTGTCTTTAGCTCTAGTGTAAGGGTACTCACAGCCACAGTCTATTTAATATAACAGCCTCCTAGCTGGTCTCCCAGCCTCCAGCCTTGCTCCCTGCTGTTTCCATTCTCTGCACCACCGTTGCCAGGGTGATCTTCTTAAAAGGCAAATTAGATTATGCTACTACCTTGCTTAAAAGCATTGAATGGCTTCCTGATTGCTTTTGGGTGAAATACAAGCTCTTCATGTGTTTTTTAGGGCCGTAAGATCGGGCCCTCGTTTTCACCACTATAGCTCAATTTCTTACTCCTTACTTCCTTTTTTGAGTTCTTTGAGCCAAGCACACTGAAGTCCTTTCAGTCTTTTGAACTGGCCGTGCTATCTTTCCCCTCTTCTCAAATGCCAAGACATGCTTTTTAACCCCCACTGCCCCTCCCTCCTTCGCTTGATTCTTTCTAAGTGTCTCTTCTTTCAGAAAGCCTTCTCTAACCCTGAAAGCTGGGTCTGGTACCCATTTTCTATGCCCATGGCTCTTATAACAGCGTGGCACCTATAACTGTATTTAATCTCCACTTACCTGTCCAAGGACCCTGGTAGAGGGGGTCTCTATCCAGTTTGCCAATATATTCCCCATGTCTAGTGTACTTAGTAAGTGCTCAGTAACTATTTGTTAATGCAACAAATCTGTTCAAGACAGGTTTCTTTAGCATTTGCTGCCGTGCATTCTTGGGCAAGCAGAACAGAACTGTCCTTATGAAGCTTATATGAATGATTGACAAACTCAAATGCTTTGTCAGGTCTTTTAACCTTTTTGGATCACGTGTTCTGGGGTGGGATGAGTAATCTAAGATTTATTTTGGTTTTTGAAAGCTGCCTCTGCTCGGGAATGCCAAGGGGCTTCAGAAGTGGCAGTAAGCTTGAAATGTTAGTGTTCCTCCATTGTTGCTTCTTACTCTTGTGCTTTAGTGATTATCTTGGGTCTTATGTTTCCTGTCTTAATATCCCAGAACTGAAAGATCTCAAAAGGATTGAGTTGAAAAAAAAAAAAAAAAAACTAAGACAAGAAGGACTCTGCTTAGTACCGTATTTTCTAGGTCTCTCAGAATTTGCTACTCTTACGCCTACACTGTCTTTTCCACTTGCTGTCTGATGACATTTAAAAAATGATGCACATGCTTTGCTGTCCATAACTTTTAAAAGAAAAGAAACGGAGATCTGGAAGGCATTTGACTGGGCTCTCCAAAGATAAAATGTATTAAATAGCTGGCTGGTTGGTTAAGGGTTTTTTCCCCTTTCTTCTTTTCCCTTTTGATATGTAGGTTTTTATCATTGCCTTTTTAATTTAATGGAAATGTTTACATCAAGAGCTTTTATTATATTGAGTAGTGCATCCTAAGAGTCGGGGTACATGGATCATAGTACATACACTTCCTTTTCTTCACGTCAAATTCATTCAGCAAATATTTCTTCAGCAATAAATGTTTGAATGAGGGCCTTTTAGGTGAAAAACTACCCATAGATGGAAATGGGATGCACTACTTAAGATCTGGCCTCCGCTCCAAGAAGATTGTAGTCTAGCTAATAAGACAAAATTTAAATATGTGAGAAGTTAAGAGTGAAATATTTAAATCATGAGTTAAAGACAACTGGAAAGACCAATTGCATTTAGCTCCTCCTAACATTTGCTGTCAGCAGGACTCCCAGTTCCTCCTACACGCCTTGAGCTTTTCATGGCCCTGTGTCCTGTTTCTAATCTGTTTATTGCCAAGAGAGCTGTTTTGCTATGCTGCACTGTCGTTACAGCACTAATGATCCCTCTTTCGTGCCACGGGGGATGGGCTATTTTCCAGGTCCAAGAATACCGGGAGGCCCTGGAGGGAATATTAATCAGAGGCAAGAACGGGATCCACCTGGTGCCAGAACTCTACGCCATCCCACCTAACAAGGTAACCAGGCGCTGCTTAGCTGGAGCGAAGTGAGTTGGCGCTTGGCCTTTTGGTATTTTTCATCCCCCTTTCAGACCTAACACTTTTTCTCCAGGAGAAGTGGTTTCTAAAGCCTTCAGTAGTGTTCCTGTCTATCACAGGAGTTACGGCTTCAGAGCCATTCTTGACCAGGGCTGCCCAAGAGAGGCATCGGTTGAGGACCTTCAGAGGATACCTCTCCCCCTGCCGGGCCCAAGGCCGAACAAGCCCTAAAAAGCACAAAACACTGTTGGGCACCAAGTTCTCACACATTTCCATGGAAGAAGAAACCAGACACACTCTCCCTGGGGAAGGGGAAGAGCTGTATCGGGATAGTTGAGAATCTCCTCCTTTGAGTCAAGCAGTTCCTGAGCTGGAGCCTGAGCAGTCAGTTAGAAGCCATTCTATAGCAGGGAGAGAGAAACCGGTCAGTTCTGAGAGGATGCCCAAAGAGAGTTTTCTTCTATCCAGTTTCCTAAGTTGGATCATGATGGACCTATATATCGTGGTGGGAAGATTTCCCTGTACATTTCTCATGTTTAGAAGAAAAACATTCTCGATTCAAGTCTGTTTGTCCTTTGGATGTTCCTGTTGCTTCAAAGCTTCATCATTGCATGTGCTGGAGGAACAGACTTCAGAGAGCAGCATCTTGCCCCAGTTGACAGGGCTTCAGGAGATCGTAACCCAGCAGAAGCTGTCATGCAGCAGCCTGGGTTTAGGGGTTCTGTGGTTGAATCAGGCCCACACGCACATGGTCAGGGGACTGGCAGGGCCCTTTGAAATTATCTGCCTCAGCTCAGAGAGGCTGTGGAACCTGTCAGAGCTCAGACAGCACTGGGCTTCGCCTGGGACTAGGCCCCAGGTTCAGGGCCTCCCCACAACCCCACACTTCCTCCTAACGGGTGATACATTTCCAGGTGATGGAAAGTCCCTCACTGTAGGATCAGGCCATGGAGCCTACAGGGCTGTTTTCTCTCTAAGTAGCAGAGACCTAGATTTCCTGCAAATGTATTCATTTGACTATGCGTGATATGCATATGTTATTGGGGGAGGGGTTGTTGGTGGGGGTTGGCTAGTTACTTTCCAGCAACTACGTGTTCAAGTTGCCCCTTTTCTGGTACTGAGGCATTTGGCAAAACAAAATTAGTAATGGGAGGTAACGTGGAATGTGGAAGCAGAGCAAGGGAAAATATGTGATTTCAGGGGTATTTTACCAATTTTATAGTAGAGAATAACCATCCATCTGTGTTCTACTAAAAGGCACATTTTTCTGACTCTAGTAAATGCTAGGTGTTATAAGCTATACTTTTCTTTCTGATGAATAGTGCTGGCAAGCATCGTGAGAAGTTACTCTGTATCTTTCTTCTAAACTCCACACTGACCTTTGGGTTTCTGCTGGTCATTACAACATCCTCCTTTATCTAGCGTGTTTACACATCAGCTATGCACCAATTTGAGGCACTATTTTATGTTGACCACAGTTTGTGTTGGCTGCTTCCAGGTAACAGCTGGGAGGTTTCACCCATGACCTCAGTAACATGTAGAGACCACTGGGTTGTAGAGACGGCTACAGACGGCCACCCAGACCCAAATGGCGCCTTTGTACAAATTAGAAAAAGGGCCTCATCCTTGGAGTAGCTGCAGACCCGGGCCTAGGTGGCATCCAGCCTGGATTTCAGCCTCACTCACTTCCTCAGCTAGACATGTTGTACGAGGCACCACCACCGACGGGGCCCTCCACTGGATAGCTTGAGACTAATGCAAGTGTGCCCCGTAAATGTGTCTCTAGCGGCTGCTCTGGGCCAGGCTCCAGGCTGGGTACTGGGGCCCAAAGATGGTTTCACCAGCTCTGCCTCTGTGGGTTTGCAGGCCTAGTGGAAGTTGGAGGAGCTAGTCTGTGGCATGGAGGGCAGAAACAGGAGTGGCAGCGGGAAAGGCCTGGTGCATCAGAGGAACTGCAAGCAGATCGGAAGGACTGACGTGGAGAGGGAGAGACGGATGCCTCCACAGGGAGGCAGGAGCCAGCCCATGGGTCGGGGAGGGCAGAGCCAGGCTGTCTTTTGATCCAGACACCTTGTCTGCCTTGACTGTCTCTCATTCCAGATCTTTGTGGTCTTTCTAAACACGTTACTTACCTTTCAAATAGCTTTAACATACAATCTGATTGTAAATGTCATCTTGCACACTGCAAAACCTCCAGGATTCTGTAGAAAGAAGAAAATAACTTATCTCTAATCTTCCTACTCAAGGATAACCACTAGGACATTTTGGAACATCTCCTTCCACACTATTATCCTATTTGATTATTGATGATGCTCAATTCTGTTCAGTTTATGAGCTTAAGGCTTTCTTAATGTTTACTGCTACAGCCAATTTAAAAATTTTTACTAAATATATTAATAACATCACTGATTAATCCACAAGCAGAGAATGACTCCCCTCGTGGTGTGATTTTCCCCTTTGCAGAAAGATAAGTCATATTTCCTTCGATTGGCTTACATTTTCTGGAGGAAAAAAGTGGTCACTAACACTACCTGCCGCCAATGTTGCAATGACGAAAATACCCAAAGGTCAGCATGGAGTTGACAACAGAGAAAGTTGCAGAGTGACTTTTACAACATGGAGCCAGCACTGTCCATCAGAAAGAGAACTGTAGCTTATTTTAATGAGTCAGAAGCCCCCACTGGATTCAACTTTTTGAGTCCCTGATGGGAAATTAGTGATCTGTTAGTACAATTGTTTTTCCTCAATAAATAAACAGTGCCACCTTCTGGGATTTTCTTGCATAGGCACACAGAGTTTATGGACCCCTGGGGATAGCATGATAGAGGACGCCTGACTTAGCCTCCAGCGATGCACTGCCATGGCTGTGGGCTGATGTTTTAGACCATTGCACCCATAATACACCCAGATGTACGCAGGAGCTGTGAAACTTCTTATTGCCCGGAGCTGTGCTCAAAGAAGGCAGGCCAGGCTTCCAATGCCTATCTCTCTGTCTTTTACCACCAGTGTGCTTGTAGGAAGAGCACTGGCCTATAACCAGGCCTAGATTGGAGTTCCACCTCGGCTGCTTGTAGCTGGGTGGCCCCCTGTGCAAGGCTCTTAGCCTCCTCAGCCTCCCATCCCAGCTCTCACATACAGTTGGTCTGGAGGATCAAATGAATGGCAATTTATACATCCTCAGTGTGCTCCCCAGTGTACGGTGACCTTGGCCTTTTTATCCTCTGACATTCTGACTGGGTTTTTCTCTCTTTGCCAGGTAGATGAAGAGTATAAGAACCCTCACACGGTGGACAGAGTTCCTCAGGGGAAGCTGCCCCATCTGTGGGGTCAGTCCTTGTACATCCTTAGCTCACTGTTGGCAGAGGTAGGGGACTTGGGGTCTACACACACTGGAAACCGTCTGATATAAGGTGCAGGGGACCCCGGAAGAGCACAGGGGCTCTCTGTGGCTGTGATGTCTTTGGCATCTTCATGGCTTTAAAGTCCACTGGACTGGGTTGTCTCTGAGGCTTGATGGCTGGGCTTACGTGTCCATATTTGTAGTAAACCACTTTGGGGTCGACTGCATGCCAAGGACTGTCTATCTCCTCCCCCTCTGCCTCCGCCCCCCAGTGTTCCTGGTCTGTGGCTAGAACCTGGTTGAACTGATGGTCAGCAGGAGGCCAGAAGCTTCTCAGCCAGGATCAGCATGTGTGTGAAAGATACAGGGTTTGGGAAACCATAGGTCTGCTTCCAGTCGCCCTGGCGCAGTCCTAGGCACAGGAAGCAGAAGGACTCTGCAGTGCTCTCTTCATGAGGGGGCAGCAGGCTGGTTTTTCTGTTGTGAATTTTGTGTCAGGTATTCCCTCAGCCCACGACACCCCCACACAGAAGATCTACTGCCTCTGACTCATTTCTTCTTGTTAAGCATTTTCTTGACCCCAAGCTTAAGTTTTTAAAATGCAAATGCTTTTGTGCCAACTAAAAATGAATTCCGCTCCTCAGTCCTAAGTGTGGGTGACTTTATCAGATGCGTCCATCTTTCCTGAGAGGCTCCTGCCCAGCTGAGCCCCCCGGGCCCCTGCGGAGGGGTGTGGGGGAAAGAACCCAGGACCTCTGAGTTGGGGTGTGGGGCTGGCCCAGTCCAGTGTGTTCTGCCAGACTCTAGAAATGGGGGAGGGAGCAGTGGGTCAGATACCACTGGGGTTCCTAGCATGTAAAAGAAGACCAAGAATAAAGTTATCACAGTGGAAGTGGCCCTTAGGAGCTAGGGGTGCTGAGGTGGAGCAGTTGTTCCATGGGCATGATCGTCTCCCCAATTTCATGGTCGTGTCCTCGGGGGTAGGAACTGTGTCTTAATCTTTTGCCTTTAGTAGTAGGGAAAACGCGTCTATCTCCTTTGGAAAGCCAGCCCTGCCTCTGACTAACTCTGTGACCTCAGGCAGCTCTCTTAACTTCTCTGGGCCTCACTTAAAGTGAAGAGATTGGGCTTGATCATCTCTGTGATACCTTCCAGCTCTGATTTCTGTAGCAGTGGGATGGGAAACAACTCTGCCCATGTTTCTTTCTCTTCAATGTAAAGGCCTTCATCTTGGCCCAGCATTAGGTCCAGTTCCTCTTCAGAACTCCCAGAACGCCTTGATCCCCTCGTAGGGCTCTGATCATTTATAGATAGTGTGCGGAGCTCCACATTCAAAAAGCACTCTGCAGGTAGGAGGGAGCTTTGTGTCTCAAGACAGTCAGCCCTGGGCCAAGTCCCTGCTCTTTCACTTACCGTAAGCATGTTACCTCGGTTTCCCCGCCTGTAAAATGGTAATAATGGTAGTGCCTACCTGTTAGGAGGCCTGAATGTGACAGTGCACGTACAGGGGCTCAGCACAGTACCCAGCGCAGAGTAAGGGCTCAGGAAGTGTTAGTTACCATTGTTCTTTTCACTCATACAAGATGGTAGCGGACTTGACCAGCCCTGGAGAGCCAGGTTCCGAAAACATGATACATTTTTCAGTGGCTATCTAAATGGTATACTGTCTTTCAGAGAAAATAAGCAATTGACTTGAAAAATATAAAGGAATTGGGGCTGGCCCCGTGGCCGAGTGGTTAAGTTCGCGCACTCCGCTGCAGGCAGCCCAGTGTTTCGTTGGTTCGAATTCTGGGCATGGACACGGCACTGCTCATCAAACCATGCTGAGGCAGCGTCCCACATGCCACAACTAGAAGGACCCGCAGTGAAGAATATACAACTATGCACCGGGGGGCTTTGGGGAGAAAAAGGAAAAAATAAAATCTTTAAAAAAAGAAAAAAAAAGAAAAATATAAAGGAATAAAATACTGAAAATTTTGAGCCCCCAAATATTTCACTTTCAAACTTAGGTTTAAGGTGAAATTTTAGTTAATCAGTATTTCCTAATGTTGATGCTCCTCTTTTCCTAGGGATTCCTTGCCACTGGTGAAATTGATCCCTTAAATAGAAGATTTTCCACTTCTGTCAAACCTGATGTCGTAGTACAAGGTTTGCAAGCGTGTTTACTATTCGTATTTAACTTTGTAAAACCAATGTTATTTTTAATGCAAATTGTTCCCTATTTAGTTTGTTTAAAAGTGTATATGTACGTATGCTTTGGCCTATATCAGTTCTGTGAAATCCCTTCTATGACTCAGTACCTCCCAAATGCAACAATATCTTTCCCAACCACAAAGTTACTTTCTACAAAGCATTTGTTTTCTTAAATCTAAACCTTGATTGCCACTGGGGCACAAGTGATTCATTAAGCCTCATTTTTCCTAACTGCCAGTCTCTAGAAAGGAGAACATGACTCTGGGGAAAACTCAGAACCCAAGTGAGGTTCACTCGTTCCTCCCTTTGAGGTCTGACTTCTTTCCAGAGCTGCAGGCCCCTGTTTTCCCCTGCCTCCGCCTGCCTCCCTTCTTCTCTGGCCAGCAGCTCTTCCAGAGAGCTGGAAGGCCAGCCTGGGCTGTGGCGGTGGTGGCACTGTCTCTACCTCCCTACATGACGTCACCTCTGTGCCTTGGGGTCCTCATGACCAGCACCCCTCACAGTGTGGTCTTGAGGTGGACTGAGGTTGCCACAGGGAAAGCCCTCAGTGCAGGGCCCGGCCTGGTAGGCACCCAGCTCACCCTCTCCCTAATTTCCCTCGTAGGGAAGACTCCCAAGGAGCTCCTGTGCCTCACAGAACACCTCCTGTACCAGCTACTCTCATAGCACGTTGTGTATAAACCTTCTTTCCTCTAAATTAACACTGTATGTCTCTTAAGCACAAGGCCCGTGTCATTCTTACAGCTTCTATGTTGATTGACACACACCCACTCAGTACATTGGAAACAGTTATTGAACAAAGGAAAGGCAGTTCTCTTTGTGGCCACAGACTCATTTCACTGCGCCTGCCCGTGATGCAGCAAGAGGCCCTGCAGGTCATCGCCCAGTTGGTACGGTGCACCAAGCCCTCCGCAGGACACACCCGACCATCACAACATTCTGGTCAGGTCGAAGTTGTGACGGTTATGATTATCATCCCCATCTTACACGAGGCTTAAAGGTTAATGGACTCAAGGACCTACAGCCAACAGTTCTGAGTGCAGGCATGCTGATCCAGCCTGACTCCACAGCCTCCGCACTTGTCCAGAGCGTGTGCTGCCAGGTGTTCCAGAAAACCACAAGGCTGCTTTGCCACCTGCAGCCTGGGACATTGAGTGGGCCTGAGCAGCACTTTTTTTTTCATGTAATACACTAGAACAGAGTAGAAAATATCCGAGGGTCTGGCCTGGAGGAAGGGCCAGTGCTGTTTCGGAAACTTCTTCACGTACGGCTGTGTCAGATCAGGAGGCTCACGGGGCTCACAGGTCTGGGTTGCACCACTGCTCTAAAAGAGTCGCTTCTCCAGAGAGTGACCGCTGTGTTACTCTGATATGTGCAGCTCCCTGCACGGCATTGGAAGCTTCAGAAGAGACAGATGTGAAGGGAAGCCACCCCCTAGGCCTGCATGGCTGATGCTCCCATTTGCTGAGGGCCTGGGATTAGCTTCCATCCCCAGTTCAGCTACAGCTGCCCAGGTGAGCATGTAAGGCTCCCCCTCAGGGCCTTGTTGTGAAGCTCGGAAGAGATCATGGATTTTAAAATACTTTGAAAAAGCATCATATGCTACGTAAATTTAAAGAGGTGACATTCAGGTCTCAATGGCATCTATATGTGTTGTATGTTCAGGTGCTGCCGGCCTGTGGGTACAATGGTGGGGTTCAGGGCGCTACCTTAACAGTAACTGAGTTCTTTCTCTGGCTTGAGCACCGCCCTGAGCCCCTCCAGTTCCCAGCAGGCTCTGCTGCAGCTGGACACAGCACCAGTCACTCTCTGGCCAGAACTCCCCTTCTCCAGTCCCCTCCCCGGGCTCCTTTCCTTTGCCAAAGCACTGTCCACTCTCTTAGAAGCCAGCAGTACAGCAGGTACAGCAGGTGCAGGGGTCTGAGCCTCCCTTTGAGTCCCCGCGCCCTGGGCACTCTGAGCTCCCTGCCTGCTGCGGAGCCAGGTGCTCAGCCTCACCCACCGGAGACGGGGCCCAGGCTGGCCCATTGCGGGTGCAGGGCTTAGCTCTGGGGTGGCTCTTCCCTACCAGCAGGGCCCTGTGCTATGCTTCCGGGTAGGCCAGGCTGCCCCACTACCACCAACAACCTACTAGCAGGCCCACTTTCCCTTGTCTCCGGAGGGGGGAACCTCCCCCGCCTCCCCATCGGTCAGAGTATCCCTGCTAGCGCATGCCAGCATATTGCTCTTCTTTTCTGTCCTTTGAGAGCAGGGGCACAGGCTTCTCCTGGCATCCCCCATGCAGAGCTGTATCCGCTCCTGACTCCGTGTGGAAAGAACACAAAGCAGGTTTAGAATAAATGCAGACCCAGAGAGAAGCAAGACATCATTTGAGATGGGGTAACTTGGCTTGGGACCTATTGAAGACCATTTCTAGAAGTCCCTTATCGGACTATCTTGCACTTTGAGCACACTTGATAAATATGCATTGTAGTGTTGAGGGGAGGGGAGGCCAGAGAGACCCGGGAATAGCGGCAGGATGAGTGCTGTTGCTTTCAAAGCCACCCAGTGTGTGGAGAGCATGCTAATGTGTATATCACAGGCCAAAGAAGAGATCAGTCAATAATGATGCACATCCATGTTAGGAGACACAGGCCACAATCTAATGCAGATTCTGCGTTCTTCTCGTTCCCAGTTACCGTTCTGGCAGAGAACAACCACATTAAGGAGTTGTTGAGGAATCATGGGGTAAACGTCCAGACTATTGCTGACGTTCGTCCAATCCGAGTCCAGCCAGGGCGGATTCTTAGTCACATATACGCCAAGCTCGGTGGGTTTGGGGAAATAGCAGGGTGTTTTGGTGCGGGGGCATCTTGGTTCTAGATTTTGGGTCTTGGGGAGACTGTAATATGTGTAAATTCTACAGAATTGGGCAAAGCACTACAGCAGGTGGTTCGACTGCTTCAACATGAAGGGGGATGGGTGAACAAGCACGTTCTTCTCATGCCCGAACGTTCAGTAGATGTCGCCACAGGTTGGCTGTGCGATTTGCCAGATCTGTTGTAAAATAAGGAGCCACCTGGGCCAGCCTCGGTGGCCTAGTGGTTAAGTTCACCATGCTCCACTTTAGCGGCCCAGTTTCAGTTCCCAGGCGCGGACGTACAGCACTGTCTATCAGTGGCCATGCTGTGGTGGCAGCTCACAAAAAGAGGCAGATTGGCAACAGGTGTTAGCTCAGGGCAAATCTTCCTCAGCAGTTAAATAAATAAATAAAATAAGGAGCCACCTTTGAAAATTCACAATTGGAACAGTCATTTGTGTGTTGATAATGTGTCTAACTTTTATGTGTAGTTTCAGAAAATGCTCATTTACCCATTAAAATGGGAGAGGGTTCTCATTATTTTTTCTAAAATCTGACTTTGTTTAGTATTATGGTTCAATACTAAATAAATTAAAAGTAAACATTAATAAAGTCCTTTTAATAGTTCTAGTCCATATAGATGTTGAACCGGGTGCTATTCACATACATGCCTGAAAAGAAGGGGGTAGGATTGTTTGTCATTCATCCTTATCCTATTGTAAAGAAGGATGATGGTATTAGAAAAACCAAACCCCAAAGTGGGTTGTTTAACATAAAGATAAGCCCACTCTTAGCTGAAGTCACTTGGATTAGATGTTACTATATTTGTTCTAACTCCAATTTCTCTTTATTTTTCAAATAGGACGGAATAAGAATATGAAATTGAGTGGGCGCCCATATCGGCACATTGGCGTCCTTGGAACATCTAAACTATACGTGATTAGGAACCAAATCTTTACTTTCACACCCCAGGTGAGAAGAGCAGGCCAGTAGTAAACCCACAAGCATCCGTTCATTAAGCTCTCTTTTCTGTCTGGTGAGCTACTTTGAATGTGGCAGAATGTGCATGCATGTGTTCAAATAGAGACATATGACACCTGGTACTTAGTACAATTCTTTACTCATAGTAGGTGCTCAGTAAATGTGGCTTCAGTCGAATTGAGTGTGCCGTCACTTCCAGTCATTAGTCATGGTGAAATTCACACTGCTTTACAAATTTGCTGGTGACATGTCACTTGACTCACAGCCCTTGTGCACCTAATCACAGTAGTCTCTCACTCTTGCTTAGGTTGACATCAGACCCTCTCTCTAACACACAGCAAGTCTGATTTTCAGGCCCCAACCCTCTTGGTGGGATCCTGAATATACTGATTATGAAACTTTTCTTCAGAGTTTTTGTTTCCAAAGGAAACTAGTCCTGTGAAACCCAAACCAAAAGTTTTTCATCCCATTCGGGCAGCAGAAGACCAACTGTGGGATCTCTTTGTCAATGTGTGGCACAGGCCCCCCCCCCCACCACCTGCCTGGGCACACAGTCAGCTGTGGGGTCATGGGTCAGTAGCCCCAACTTGCTCTTTTTCAGCCTAGCCATGCTGCTTGCTTAAATCTTGGGAGTTATTTCCCTTCGTAACAAATTTCAGACCAGAGCTGAGCATGGACTAGTCCAGAGGCCAGGAGAACAATTTGATTTTCATTGACGTCAGGCAACAGTGCCTTTAGTTCATGTTGGCCAGGCCATCAATCAGGTAAACACAGTCTCCACCTCTCACCTGCTCTCAGTGCCCTCACTTGGAGAGCATCTCCGAGCCAGCAGCTCTGAAAGGAGTGGGAATGAGGGAGTTATTGATTTCCTTTCAGAGGCAGCGCTGTTGGGCCAGGTGCTTAAATCCCCATCTGAGGAACTGTAAATAGATCTAGCTGTGCACCTTTCTCTTCCCCACTAATGTAGCCACGACTCCTGGGCAGGCGACAGATCAATTTGTCTGATCATGAGGAAAGCCCCAGGATGGGGTGGATTGCAGCCAGGATTGAGCCTCTTCTCTGGAAACAGAACACAAGGATTGGTGCTGCCGTGAATGACAGCTGGGGTTGTGTTGAGGGAAATGAAGGGACAGCCTTTTATCTGGTCTGTTCTGACTTGCAGTTCACTGACCAGCATCACTTCTACCTGGCCCTGGACAACGAGATGATCGTGGAGATGCTGAGGATCGAGCTGGCCTACCTGTGCACTTGCTGGCGGATGACGGGCAGACCCACGCTCACCTTCCCTATCACCCACACCATGCTCAGTAATTCCGTGGACTTGATCTGCCTGATTCATGTCCCGCTGTTGGTTTGGGCCCTTTTCAAAGTGTTTAAAATGAGTCCCGTGGACAGAGCTAAGTACTGGAGCCGGTTCTTAGCAGTTCGGTTTCTTAGCTTGGGACTCTTCTATGCTCTGCATATTTTAATTGGATTGTTTGATGAAAACATTGCAGTGCATGCCCCCCAAAAAAGCATTACCAGATTAAGTAAACTAATTTGTCTTTTTTTTCCCTTAGCAAATGATGGGTCAGATATTCACCCTGCAGTTCTTTCTACAATTAGAAAACTAGAGGATGGATATTTTGGAGGAGCTAGGTAATTTGTGATTTTTTAAAAATAAAAGTAACATTGACCTTTCTTACTTTTGCCGCCCTTCTCACATTTTTCATATCAACTGCTGAACATAGAAGCATGGCACTTTAGAGTAAAAGAGGAAGTTAAAGTTTATCTAATCCAGTCCCCGTGTGAAACTGCAATCAGCTCTACAGCAGCATTCTCTTGCATGTTGCTGAAGCTTTTACAGGTGCCAGGAGGCCTGGGGCATAGGGAGAGAAACATCAAGTCTCTCTGACGTGGCATCCATGGATGCACGTGTGGAATGCTGTGTCTGCTTCTAGTAAAAGGCGTGGAAGAAAACCCCCAGTGCCCAGGATCTAGCAGGTCCTCAATAAACACTCCTTGAATTGGCTTGGGTGTGCTGTCACCTCAAGAATAATTCACAGAACTGTACAAATTCCCTGGTGGCCCTCAGAGCAGAGCACCTGAATGGGGCTGCCTTGACCGTTATCCCCTCATTCTCCGTGGAATGATACCCATGCTGGTTTGCAGGCGCACGGACAGCAGATGCTCCCAGGTATTATGAGTAAGCACCTTGAGTGATGGGGGCTCACCTCCCAGGAAAACCCCTTTTGTTTTTATACCCTATAACTGTCACAAGGTAGAGGTTTTCTCTGTAGCATCTATGCCCTGACCTCTCCGAATCCCCTGGAATATTCCAGAAGGGCCCCAGGAGACCCTCACCATGCAGCCGGCTCCAAGTGAAATGTGGTCTTTCCCAGGCTCTGGGAGGCTTCCGTTTGGTCCCTGATGGAATGCCAGTTGCTAAAAGTGTTTGGGCATTGAAGTCAGCCCTTCTTCTCACATCCTCCCCCACCAGGGACCCTGCTGCCACAGTCATTTTTTTTTAATTGTGGTAAAATACACAAAAGATAAAATTTACCATCTTAACCGTTTTAAAGTGTACAGTTCAGTGATACTAAGCACGTTCACGTTGTTGTGCAGCCTATCTCCAGAACTCTTTTCATCTTGCAAATCTGAAACTCTGTACCCATCAAACAACTCTCCATTTTCTCTGCCCCCGGCCCCTGGCAACCACCGTTCTCCTTTCTGTCTCTAGGTATCTCATCTAAGTGGACTCTTGCAGTATTTGTCTCTTTGTGACTGGCTTATTTCTCTTAGCCTGATGTCCTCAGGGTTGAGTCACTATTTCTAAGTGCTGGGGTTGGCACCTCTGCTCACAGAGCTTGCTGTGGGTTTTGCTGTAGACTTGAAGTGGCCCTCACCCCAAGCTTCTCCTGACCTCTCTCAGGAGTGTCAGCAAGACTGTCCCCAGCATTTTGCCATCTCCATTTCCAGTGCTAGCGCGGTAACTGCAGTTGCACATTTCACCTCTAGTTTGGATAAGTTACCACTTGGTGTATGGCACCATAACCGAGAGGAAATACCATACACCCGTAATTAACTGTTTTTCAAAATAAACTCGTTAACTGAAATCTAATCATTGTCGTAAGGATACCGTCTGCAGTTAATTTGAGTGCTTGCAGTGTGTTCTTTATTGCTTTGTATGGATTGTCTCATTTAGTCTTCCCTTTGTCATGTGGGCTGTATTCCCATTTTACAGACGAGGAGCTGTAGGCTCAGAGGGCTGGGGGCACACGACAAACAGGTGCAGAAGCTCTGTGTGAATCCAGAAACAGAGCCCTGACCACCCTGCTGAGCTAGGTGAGGGCTTACAGGAATCGGGAGGGCCTCCTGCTTCTAGAGGATGGCAGAGGAGTCAGAGAACCACAGAAAGGAACAATGCCGCTCCATCAGCTCCCTTTCCTACTAAGTTCTTGATAATTAAAGTGGACTCATCTGGGCTTTTCCTTTTGGTCTGAAGGTCTTTAAAAACTGAATTGACTGGGTAGCTTGCTATCAGAAGCCTTTTTTAATTACTGCCTTTCCGCCTTTGACCTTACTCCTTTCAACTCATCAGAGAGAAACTTTCCGTTGTCTTTTTCCCCTGCTCCACTTCACCTCCTCCTGTTCTCCAACCTCAGGGTAAAGTAGTCATTAGAACTGGCCCCAGGGCTCCAGGGGGAAAAAGTTTTTGCTTTATTAAAGGGAGACTTTTCTTTCCCTCAGGCCATGTTTTGTTCATGTAGTTCATTTGCCCGTTGAAGCTCAAGCACCTATGAATTCATTTGCATTGCATCCTTCAATTTACTCCCTAAACGTTTCTCTCAGCTGTTTGAACTACGTCATAATCTGATGCTGGTAGCTCCGAGGCATCCTATTGTTTTCTGCCTCTGGATCTGACATTTTAAGAAGCATGAGGTGCCGGCTTTCTTTCTGTAGGGTGGACATCCTAGTGCTCCCCTAACCTGGGGGTGGACCTGCAGAACTGGAGGCTGCTGCCTTTGTAGCGGGACCCCACACTGCCAAACCCAGCTCCCAGTTATCAGTGGATCTTTCTCAGCCTGACAATGTGATAGGGCCACTCTAGGCAGCTGCTGCAGTCTGGGGATGGCCCGCCCATCACATTCCTTCTAGAGAGAACTTTGGCTCTGAGACTTGCCTCTCGCATCATAATACCTGTGCCTGTGTGACCATATTGCGTGGCAGACACTCATAAATGATGGCTTGAGTGCTCCCAGAGAATTGTTGCTTATGGTTTTGTTCTGGTCCAGTCATTTTAGGGCAAAAAATCCCCAAGGGTTGGTTCTGGTTAAAAGTAGTTTGCTCAATATGTTCTGTTAAACTTTGGTTGGTTCAGTAAAATAGATTTATATTTGCGTTGGGTTTGAGAGTAAGAAATCAGCATGATTCATTTTGGCTTTTAATATGCCATGTGTTGACACTTCTTACTTGCTACTGAATTTTCATTGTCATTTCTTGACTGAGTGCTTATATGGGGAAGTCTGCAGAGTGATGTTATTGACTCTGGCCGAAGCTCCACCTGGGTGTTGAAAAGTCTCTCAACTCATAGTGGAAGTTTGTCCACATGCACCTGTATCTCTAACATAGTGTCTTCTTGGCAGAGTAAAATTGGGGAGCCTTTCAGAATTTCTCACCACATCTTTCTACACGTATCTGACCTTCCTGGATCCGGACTGTGAAGAGAAGTTGTTTGATGATACCAGTGAAGGGAACTTCAGTCCTGATAGTGATTCCGATTTGGGGGGATATTTGGAAGACGCCTATAATCAAGGTATGGCTTGGAGTGCCTTTGCAGACCGTTCATTGAATTTATTTAAACCTTGGCATTGTGATAATATTGCCCTAAGACTGAAGCACAGAAAATGATTGGTAATTAACATGACAAAAAGAGGCTTTGGAATATTAAAATGAATAAAATGCAGGTTTAAAAACCTAAACTGCAAAAGTGGGACTTTTTTAAACCTAGAGGGACAAAGAGTTTCAGGAATGAGGACTTTTCACAAAATATATTCTGAAGACAGAAACATACTGCCTGAATTTTCAAAGGAATGGTAGAATGATCTAGGTTTGGTTGCATATGAGTGATGAAATCCTATGTATATAAAATTTCTCTAACTGAACAAGATTTTGGGTTGAAGTGACCTGTTTTTTACTTTTAGATAGTACTTGAGATTGGGGCTGGGGTTCCATAATGCTTAGCTCACTCATGGCAAATTAAAACAAAAAGATCGGGTGTTGGCTGCTGGCCCTCAGGTTGTCTTACATTATCAGTTCATCTTGGGATAATGTGCTGTAAACACTATCTTGACCTGTATTTTCTTTTCCTAGGATGAAGTTTTCCAAACAGTAACTTTATAAATATATACATTATCTATGTAAATCTCTTTATTCTTCGCGGGTGGGGTTGGGGTGCAAATATCTATATCAAAATGTTGACTTCCACCACATCTACTCAGCACTGTGTGATACGCACAATCACTCTTATGCATTTGGAATATTTCTGCAGCTTATTTTCATTGGCTCTTTTTCTTGCTTGTCCAGTCACAGAAAGCCAGGACGAACTTGACCAGTATATCACCCACCTCCTGCAAAGCACATCATTGAAGTGCTATCTGCCTCCTCTTTGTAAGAGAACCGAAGACAGCCACGTTTTCAGTGCCATCCACTCCACTTGGGATATTCTTTCTGTGATGGCAAAAGCAAAGGGTTTGGAAATTCCATGTACGTTATTAACTCTTTTCTGCCTGTTAAAATAACATCTTTTATCAAAGTAATGCATGAGCATAATTTAAAAGTCAAAGAATTCTAAAAGAGAACAAAATGCAGATGTTTCCTGCCTCACCCCTTCCCTCCCCTCTGCCCCCAGTTTCTACTTAGAAGCAACCACTTTCATCTCTTAGCTGTTTCTTCTGGTATTTACGTCTCTCCATATTTCTAAAATAATGTGTGTATGCCACTGTCTTTTGATGCATTGACTTGATTCAGTATCTGTTGCCTTTCCCTTATGTGGGTGAGGATTTAGCTATCTTAAATCACCACTCCTCTATTTTGCTTTCCCTAAACTACCAATGTAGTTGTGTTAAAGTTTGATTAAACCAGTATTCACTCTTTGTATTATTTTTTGTATGAAAATATTATTTCCAACTGAGCATTATAGTATACTATTATTATATTATTGTTTATACTTTTTGTTTTTTCTAAAGTTAATAGTTGCCCTATCTTTTAATTTGCCTTCCTTTCTATACCTTCTAATGGGCTTGCAATACAAATTCCCACAAGGTCAATCATATCCATGAATCTCTTCGTTCCACTACTTTTCTTAGAGCCCACAAGTCTCCTTCTGTCTGGCTGATAGCACTCTAGGCCTGTTGCATACCTGGCATCCTGGGATTTCTCTTTACTGTAATCCTTGGAATCTCCTTTGCTTATCTCTTCAGTTGGGTTTCCTGTTTCCTGAATCTGATGTGTTCCCCTTTCCCAATTTATTCCTTTGGCAGAGCACATTCTAGAATAGTTTCAATAGGTTAAAAACATGGTACAATGGAAGAGGGTGTGGTGATGACAGCCCTCGACTTGCTTGTTTCTGAAGTTCACTTCCCCTTTTGGCCTGGTTGCCCTCCATATCCGAGATGTAGATTTTATCCTTGGCTCTTCCTTCACCGTCATCCTGGAGAGTTCTTTGAGACGTCCTTGTCTCTTGTGTTGGCTCTCCTCTTTTCTGTATCTCAACTTTTCCTCTTTTTTAGCTTACTCTGTTATTTTGGTAGTTGAGAAACAGTGCATGGTTAGTAACATTGTTGAGATCTTGCAAGTCTGAAAATATCTACAGATATTCTATATCCATTTGAGAGTTTGGCTGGGTATAGAATTCTAGATTGAAAATAAATTTCTCTTCAGAATTTTGAAAGCATCACTTCATTGTCTTCTTGCTATGAGTGTTCCTATTGAGAAACCTAAACCCACTCTGATTTCTAATCCTTCAAATATAAACTGTTTTTTCCTTTGAAAGTTTTTAGGATCTTCTCTGCTCCCAGGTTCTGAAACTTCAGTGATGTGCCTTGATCTGGGTGTATTTTCATCCACTGTGTTGGGTACTCAGTGGGCCTTTTTAATCTGGAAACTTATGTTTTTCAGTCCTGTAAAGTTTTCCTGAGAAATTTCTTGACTCATTCCCTCCCCTACATTTTCTCTGATCTCTCTTTCTGGTATTCTGTGATTTCACTGTTGACCTCCTGGAGATGCCCTCATCCTTTCTCTTCTGTCTTCCATTTGTCTATCTTTGGCTCTGTTCTGAGGACAATTGCTTCAACTTTTTGTTCCGCCCCCTCAGTTGAGGTTTTTTTCACTTTTGCTATCATGTTTCAAATCCTTGTCTTCTGAATTACATCTGTTCTTATTTCCTACATGCAATATAATTTCTCATTACTCTAAGAATATTAATACCAGGGCTTTTTATTTTTGGTTGTTTGTTTTCACATGTTCTTCTCCCTAAATGGCTTCCATTTCCCCCAAGTCAATTTTTCCTTGTTTTTTTGGTTTAGAGTCTTTCCTCCAATGCTGGGTGTTCCGTGGTTATCTGCTCATGCATGAGACTCTCCAAGCATGTTGGCGGGGCCTGTTGGGTTTGTGGGTATAGTCTGAGCGGATTTCCCATAGATACTCTCTAATCTCCTTTGCCATCTCTTTTTTGACAGGTAAGGATCTTGTTGCCTGGAGCTATACAGTCACTTATCCTCCCTAAGAAATGTTCCCAGGCCTTCAGACATGCTGGTCAGCACCCCCTCCAGAGGCATACCCCCCTTTTTCCCTCTTCAAAAAGACCCACCAGTCTTCTGTCAGGGTGAACAGGGCAGTGCCAGGCTGTGTCGAGTTGAGGAAGGCATCTTGGGAGCTCAAGATGGAGCTTGGGAGCTTCTCACACAGCTTCTCCCCAGTCTTCCTTATTTTGGACACCCTCTTTGGACCCCCTAGTTCCAGAGGTATGCGGAGCAGCAAGCTCCTGAGACTTCTGAGGATCCTCTGATGTAAATCTGACTGGTTCTTGGTTTTTCACACTGCAAACTTGAGGTTTGGTTGCCTTGTATCTGGTAAATCAGTTATCTTTCATCCATCAGCTTTCTTGCTTCCAAAACGTTGTTAACTATTGTCTTCTCTCGTGCTTTCCCCTATTTTTGAGGATTTGTCTTTTTAAAAAAATATATATATTATTTTCTGTAGTGTTAATGGGGGGTTGAGAGGAAGTAAAGTTAAAATATATGTTTGATTCACTAGGGTAACCTGGAGGTCTATAAATAACTTTTAAATATGCCTCATCTTTACCTTTAAAACTTCCTCTTTTCCCAAGATGATATGATGTAGCCTGGAAGACACTGATGGCTTAACGAATAAATATTGATAATCATAACATCCAAAGGTGGTTAAAAAAACAGAAGCCCTAACACTAGGTAGTGGCAAATTGAAACACATACTGGACAGGAAGCTGGGACACCTTGATTATGAGAAAGCCAATGATCTTGGACAAATGGTCTACCTTCTTTGGTTCTCAGTTTCCGCATCTGAAAGAAAAAGAGGTCAGGCTCAGTCATTCCTAAGGCTCCTTTCAGTCCCAAGATACTGTATAATTTTCCCTGAATTCCAGGAAGGAAAAGAGAAATTCAACTCCTGAAAGCAAGATCCAAGTCCTGCTCACTTCTTGCTCCCAGATTTAACACATGATGTGGCTACACGATAAATTCTTGTTGAAATTAATTGAACTAAGTAATCATTTCTTTACTTGGTTTGTATTGAATAAGAAGTACCTCTCAAAATAAGTATTTTATCTTTCTTCCTCCTTAGAAGAGGTCTCATAAGTCTTTTGTTTTCCAGTTGTTCCTATGACTTTGCCCACTAAAGTTCTAAGTGCCCACCGGAAATCACTGAATCTTGTTGATTCTCCTCAGCCACTCCTAAAAAAGGTAAAGTGTTTAGAATCGCTTTTTGAAAAAGTGTAATGTTCTTCAATGCTTGTGTAGTCCCAAGAACTCTTTTGAATGGTTGAACTCAAAAGAAAGCATATTTCTTGAGATCCAGGACTTTTAGGGTTAGACGTTCTGGGTTTCCTTGTGAACCTGCTCACTTAGTTGTCTGGAATCTGCTTTGTGTCAGTATGCACAATGAATTTGATGTGAACCTTTATATTTTGCATCTAGGAAAATACTGACTTTCTGGCTGCTCGTCAGAATCTGTGTCGCACTAGAGGAAAGAAGCTAGCTCACTATCTAGCCCTGTCCTTCTGTGCCAGCCAGCCAAGGCCGGCTACTTGCAGAGTAGGGTACAAAACTGGAAAAAGATTCCTCAGGAGAATAAAATCTCAAGGTGTTCCCCACTGGTTCCCATAATTTGTTCTTTTATCCAGAAGTCTTTCTTGATTTTATCCCACATGAATAGAAAGATTCAGCATCTGTGGGAGAATATTTTAACCTCAATTTTAGGTTAAAACTCACATGCTTTTTGTATTTGATTTGCTTTTTAAAAATTATTTTCTTGAAATCTAACATATATAGGAAAAAGTGTATAAGGTGTAAGTGTAGAGCTCAATGAATTATCACTGAGCCAATAGACCCATGTAAATGACCAACCACCCTTTGTGCCCCTGCAGTCGCTCCCTTCCCATCCACTCCAAAGGTAACTGCTGCCATGAGTTCTCACACCAGGGGTTAGTTTTGCTTGTTTTTGAGCTTTGCATAGATAAAACTTACACATATTTTAACCTGTTCAGTCCAGCCTCTTGCAAACATTGACTAACACAGTGATTCACTGGTCCAAAATAGTAAAGCATATAAATAAAAAGCTACAAAAGATCCACTGAAAGCTTGGAGATAGGTGCAGCCACAAAGTTCCAAGACCAGGTTGGTGTGTCACTTCCTGATCTTCTAAAAGATCACACCCTCAACCCATCTCCCCTGCTCTTTGTCTGCCGTGTGGCCAGGCCCCCGAAGATGACTCCCAGTGGCCCAGAGATGACCGTGGTGATGTGGACTGTGAGAAGCTGGTTAAGCAGCTGAAAGATTGTTCGAACCTACAGGACCAAGCAGACATTCTATACATTCTGTATGTAATAAAGTAAGTTTACCATCTTCACTAGGTTGAACTTTCTCCATTCTCCTTGACTCTCTCTCCTACTCTTCTTGGCCTTCCAGCAAGCCAGGTCATGATTTTATTCACCCAGATTACCCAGGATCACCATGAACAGTCTTCCGTCCCCGTCCCTGCCTGCCCTTCCATTCCCTTCCCTGCTCGCTTGCTGGCCTCCCAGGACGAGAACGCTGGGTGAGGCCAGGATCTCACCATTTTCCAATGTTAGACTTCTGTTTCAGATAGGAGGAGTGCTTTGGTGAGATGCAACCCTCTCGGTGAGACACAGAGGCACTGGGAGGGCCCCTAACACTTGGCAGAATGCACAGTGATTCATTCCCCTGCTTGCCGAGTGAGCTCTACTGCAAGAGAATCTGGCCTTTAAACATTCCGGGTTTTCTCTCTCTCGACAGGGGCCCCAGCTGGGACACAAATCTCTCCGGACAGCACGGGGTCACCGTTCACAACCTCCTTAGTGAGCTCTATGGGAAAGCTGGCCTGAACCAGGAGTGGGGTTTGGTTCGCTATATCTCTGGTCTGCTCAGGAAGAAAGTGGAGGTCCTGGCCGAGGTCAGAGGCATTGCGCACGGGCTGTCCATTTGTCCTTTTTAACCCCATGCCCTCTTCCACTTCCAATCTTCCTATTACGAAAGCTGGAGGCAAGCACCTCTTATTTGTAAAGGAAACCAGTTATTTAATATATAGATGGAGCAGGCCCTCCTCTCCTGACCTCCCACTGCTCTTGGAAGGCAATGAAATTCAAGTTGATTAGTTTTGTTCCTTCTTAGCTACAGAAAAAGATTTACCAAGAAATAAAATGGAAACCCTCTGGCCTGGCCCCCTCTTAAACAGAACTCTCTTATGTCTGCACATCTGCAGTACAATCAGCATTAGTATTTTAACCCCTAGGCGGGCCCTGCAAAATCCGGAACTGCTTTCTTAAAGTTCAGTGTTGTGGTAAGGTGACAGTATTTGTTATCTATGGATTATGGTGAAACTGGCAATTTAGGACTCTACTGTGGTCATTAACCCTTAACATCAGTATCTTAGGACTCATAACAGCCCATCCTGCTTGTGGCATATAAGGGCCAGGCCTAGGGCCACATCCTGGGGACACAAAGATCACTGGGACCCAGCCCTGCCTGGGTTGCTCAGTGTGGGGGTCTATGTATGAATTTTTCAAGTAAGTGGCAACATGGGTCATAAAGTTTGTAAAGGAAAATTTATGATCTTATTGGTGGTGGTGCTTCCCTGTTGGCTTTGCTAATATCTGTTTCTTCCCTCACCCCCTTGCCGCCTCGCCCTTTTTCCTAAATGGATAGGCCTGCACGGACCTGCTGTCACACCAGAAGCAGCTCACAGTGGGCCTGCCACCAGAGCCCCGGGAGAAGATCATCTCTGCGTAAGTCATCAGCCTGGGGGCCTCAGGTTTGTGGTGGATCGTGGGGAAAACATCAGTGCCATCCACTGGTCAGGAAGAGGGTCTTTTAAAAGACACTATCACTTGGGAGCTTCCAGCACGGAAAATGGGGACCTTCCCCGGAGGGCGAGGAGGCAGCCCTCCTGGGCATCTTTCATGGTGTTTGTGTCCTGCTTCTTCCTAGGCCCCTTCCCCCCGAGGAGCTCACAAAACTTATCTACGAAGCCAGTGGGCAGGACATCAGCATCGCCGTCCTCACACAGGTCAGCTGGCCAGGGAGGGACAGGGCTGCGGCCTTCTCTGGGTGGCAGGGGCCCCTCTGCCACCGCCTGGGCTCTAAAACGCTGTCTCCACTTGTGTCTGCGTCAGGAGATTGTGGTTTACCTGGCGATGTACGTCAGGGCGCAGCCCAGCCTCTTCGTGGAGATGCTCAGACTCCGGATTGGACTGATCATTCAAGTGATGGCCACCGAGCTGGCACGGAGCCTGAACTGTTCAGGTGTGGTATGCGGGGGCAGACTCTCCAGCGGCTCCCACAGCTCCCGCACCCACCCGCCCTGCCTTCTGGGGAGCCCTGCCCAAGTATGCTGGAATCCAGGCTTCTGAGCCTTTGCGTGTGCTCCTGCTTTATCAGGTTCTCTTATTTAGATGTACCTTCCACCAAGCCGTCCAGCACAGGGTGGGGAATTTCGTATGTCAGGGAGAATGAGGCACTAGAATCTTCCACTCTGCTCCTGACATCTAAGTCCGTTACTGTGTCTCCTTGTGGTGAGATGTCATCCCCCATTTAATGACACCTACGCTGGGAGAAAACCTACCGACTTTAAATATGTAAGTCAACTGTCAGATGCCTAACATTGGGATCATTACAGCATGAAAAATTATACAGTTTAAACAGCAGCATTTAGAATCACCAAGGATCAGTACATTTCAGCCCTGAATAAGTGGTGAGGTGATCCTGAGCAGAGAGGCCTGCCACAGCATCCTTTGTCACTCCCTCCCAACTCATCCTTCACCTACTGCCAGCCCAGTGTCTGGGACACTTAACAAGATGTTTGTTTTTAGGAGAAGAAGCTTCTGAAAGTTTGATGAACCTCAGCCCATTCGATATGAAAAGTCTCTTGCACCATATTCTAAGTGGAAAGGAGTTTGGAGTTGAAAGAAGTGGTAAGTAAATGCTTGTTTTATCTCTGTGGGGAGGGGACCTGACATGTCCAGCGTCGCCTGGAACTGCGTCATTTGTGTACCAGTCAACATCAGTAATCGCGATTTGAGACATAAGGTATGAGGGTAAGGTCCTAATTTACTGAGAGGAACACAGTCCTAGGTTGGAGGTTGCCCTTGCAGGGCTTTGTGACCCCTCGTAGGCTTGCTGAGAGAGCTGTGGTCGCTCATGGGCGTGGTGTGCACACCGCTGCATCCTGGCCTGCTGCCCGCCTCCTGCTGCCATAGGTCCGGGTGCCATCACTTGCGCACAGGTGTTAGGAAGTGGTGAGGTGACCAGACTGTCAGGATGAAAGGGCTATCTTTTTACATCACCTGAGCACCCCGCCTTTGGTTTGGGTAGAACCATTCTCAACCAGTGCCTCCTTAGCTAACTTCATGGGGCCGGGAGAAGAACCCTCTACAACCCCACAGCACCTGCTTGCTGAGTGAGTTCGCCTTGGCCCCATCTTGTTGGCTCAGTCTTATCTCCACCGGAACCCTGTTTGCACTGCTAGGAAATACAATCGCCTGAGTCCTGGTGGAATTCTGTTCTCAAATGCTCCTTAATTATAATTGAAGCAATTATCATTTCTCCTCTTCATAATAAAGTGAAATGATTTGCAGACACATTTGTGAATTTATTTCATCAAGTCAAAGAAATGCAGTGTGGGCTGTCATTCTTTTTCTTTAATAAGGAGGACATCGAGTACTTCATATTTTTTCCCCAGAGTGTGTGCCCACCGGCAGACAAAGACAGCCTCATGCAATCAGATGTGTTTCGGTGGCTTTTCTCCTTTCCTGAAGGAAGAGCGCTCGAGATCCTTTTCCAAAAGTCATTTTCAGTTCTTTTAAATGCACAGTCCTTGACATGTAAATATACAAGATAAATATTTAATGGGTTCTGTTCATCAAAATAATATACATGATTTGACACAGATAATTACTAAAAATTTGTTATTAGATATAAAGCTATAGATGCTTACAAAACTAGGACCAGAGTAATGTCACTTTTGAGTGACAAAATATGTCTAACTGCAAGTTAGGCCAGAAGAGGTCCCATCTTTTTACATAACATCATTTTGTTAATTGTCCTTGGCAGTTGTTCAATTTTTATGAATTAAGCTGAAATAGTCTTAGAATTTTGATTAAATCCTGAGATGTCTAAGAAATATTTCCAGCTAATGCCCACCCCATACAAGTCCCACTCTAGCTTCCCAGACCCCTTTGGCTTCTGTTTTCCACTTTCCTGGTGTCCCTCCCTCCTCCCTTTCTGGTAATGATCGAGGTTCCTTGGTGGGTTCTTCCTTTTCTGCTGTCCTTTAAATATTGGTGTCCCCGACTCCTTATTTGTCTCAAGTCCAGGGGAGTGCCCTCCACTCCCATGGCTTCAGTGGTGGGTTGGGTGGGAAGGTGGTGCATGCAAGGGGTGCTACCCGAGGAAGTGATCTTTGAGCTGGGCCTGCAGACAGGGAGGATGTGCCTGACAGAGGGAAACAGGACAGGAGGGAGCAGCACGTGCAAATGCCCAGCAGTGTATGGCTGGCCCAGAGTGGAGAGCTAAGAGGGGCAGGTGGGGCTCAAGTCGGTGGGGCTTTGTGTACTGCTGGGAAGATTGTTTGGGCTTTATCCTGAAGACAGAGCTAGGCCTGGAGTGATTCCAAGTGGGCAGTGACATGATCACACTTGCCTTTTAGAGTGATCACTGTGACCACAGCATGGAGAACTGGTTAGTGGGGGGCAGGGCCGCAGACAGGCGTGGTCCCAAGGCTGCTGCAGCAGGTGGGAAGTGAGGTGATGGAGGCCTCCCTGCCTGTGATGGCAGCAGCGCACTGACCCTCAGGCAGCCACATCTTCTCCGCCTCCAGCCCTTGGTCAGCTTGTTCTCCTAGGACTTCCCTCTCCAGCCCAAGGCCCCTTAATTGGGTGGTCTCAGTTTTCTACAAGGAAACTTTTGGAGAAATAAAAAATTATTTTAAAAAAATATACCCAATTCATGAAAGGGTTTTATGGCCACTTTTTTCTACATGCTGCTTAAGTGATGTTCTTTCATCCATTTCCTCAAACAAGTATTGAGCTTGTGCTGTGTAGCAGGTCCTGTTCCAGGTGCTGGAAGCAAACAGCACTGGCCAGGGCAGATGAGGCCTTCCTCCTCTAACAGAGTTTCTAATCAAGGGGGGAGATCGACACAGATGAAAATGAGCACGTCACATGCATTCATCTCAGGGTGGATGCTGTGTACTTCCTAAGACCCACGTGTGTTTCCTCTCCAGTGCGACCGATCCATTCCTCCGCATCCAGCCCCGCCATCTCAATCCACGAGGTGGGCCATACTGGAGTCACCAAAACCGAGAGGAGTGGCATTAACAGGCTGAGGAGTGAGATGAAACAGGTAAGAAGAGCTCTTGGCGGTGGCAGCCAGGAAAGAAGTGGCTTCCTACCTGGGCTCAGCTCAGAAAGTGATAGAAATTGGGGCATGCAGGGTGCAGCCTGCTCTTTTTAGAGGACATGAGATCCCTCCTGTCCTGGAATCTGAGCACACCTCTGTACCCAGATATCCCAGAGCCACTCACGTGCGGTCACACGTGGTAACATATTACGTGAACATTCTGGAAAACACCCTTCCCCATGTTTGCCTCTGTTGGCGAGAGCCACTCTTTCAAGTGGGCCACAGCCGTTTAAAAAGTAGGGTCATGCAAAAGCTCGTTGAATCATCTCTCCATCAAACGTGGCCTTCAAATGAAATAAGAAGAGGAATCTAGAAATAGGATGGAATGCTTGTGATACCTGTAGTCCCCACCAGCCACAGGTGTCTCTTTTCTTTGTTTACCTTTATTTAATTCACAATAAATTCCTTCTGAACTGACCCCACAGGACTGCAAGTCAACAGCTTTTTGGTCCTAATGTGCCGGGTCCTGTGCTAGAACTTGACCATAAGCTACAGTAGGAAATAGTTTCCTTCTGGCCATGACCTGCAGGGGGAAACGCACCCAGATTTTCTTCTCCATTTCAAATGATGGCTCACTCGATTGAGTCCGTGAGGCACTGGTGGGCCTCACTCTGTAGTTGGACCAACACTTCCCTGGACTGTCTAGAGGGTGGTAGAAGTAGGAGGCATCCTTGATTCGAAAGTGCTTTTTGTTTACTGCCTGCTGTATTTTTATTTTCAGATGACTAGGCGATTTAGTGCTGACGAACAGGTGAAACATCTGTCTTGTTCCATCCCTTACTGTGTGTGCTTCATGTTCTTTCTCGCTTGAATGTAGAAAGCGAGGCTGTCAATATGGAGAATCTGAATGCGTGGAGAATGGGTCTGCCCATCAGACAGGCTTGGATGGAGGGCACTCCGCAGGTGGTGGCAGGCAGCCCCAGGGACAGGCAGCCCTGGGGACAGGCAGAGTGCTGGACTTGAAAGCAGGAGAAATGACCTTGCCCCATGCCTTTAAGAAAAATCCATTTATCAAATTCTTGGGTTTTGCAGGATACTTTTTGAAAGAGATGGTCCCGGCTCTGCCTTGGCAGGAGTTTCTGTTCAGACAAAGGGAAACAAATAGGGAAAAGTAAAATGTGGTCATTGTTTATAATAGTAGAAAGAAAACTGCTATTCTTGTCCCCAGATTGCCTGGGGGAATTTCACCCTAGAAGGAAAAGAAAGAAATGTAAGAATACCGTTCTCTTATTACCCTTGGGACACTCCTCCTCCTTCCAGAAAATTGGAGTCACATTCCTAATGATTTAATGGCTCCATGACTGAGAGAGCGTACAGGAATCACATAATGACGTGCAGATTCTATACTTCATCCCAGGGAAAAACATACGTGCTCGCTTCTTCTAATTTATGCCCTTTTCAAGTAAGAACAGACTTTCCAAACATCTTCCTTTGCCAGCCACTCGGTGGCACCATCTCTCTGGTTACCCACATGCTGATGGCGGCTGACGGAGGGTGAATGTGGGTGCTTCCTCCTGCCTCCATTTAATGCCATCCTTGCATGTTATGGGGACAAAACGATCACCTTTCTTCTTTGATGGGTTTAGACTCAGTACAAGTTTTGTATTTGGCCACTTACATCAAGGACATATATTATTCTGTATCCCAAACTTAATAGATGCCGTGGCATTTTAAATTTATATTCACTTTTGTTTTTTCTGGGGAAGATGAGCCTTGAGGTAACGTCTGTGCCAGTCTTCCTCTATTTTATATGTGGGATGCTGCCACAGCAAGGCTGACGAGTGGTACAGGTCCACACCCGGGATCCCAACCTGCAAACCCGGGCCGCCAAAGGGGAGTGCATCAAACCCACCTAGGCCATGGGGCTGGCCCCCTCTATTTACTTTTGCGAGAACACCATGGGTGCGTGTGTGTGCGCTCAGGCACTATCTCCATGCAAGTTAAGGGTACATTCTAGATTTTTAGATGAAGAAATATTTGTTTGGCAAAAGGTCATCAGCAGATCTTCTTCATTCATTTAACAGATAGGTGCTGAGCGCCAGAAGGTACCAGATGCTAAATGCTGGTTATGGGTATTTTGTAGATTTTCACAACTCTTAACGTGAAAGATTAGCATTTCACAGCTGTAACTGGGAAATAAATTGTGTCCTAACTTGATGAGGCACTCTCCACATAGGACTAGAATGTGGTAACATGTCTTACTCAGAGAGAGCGCGTTTCCCAGTTCTCCATTGCCCGGAGCCGCAGAGCTCTGCCCATGCCCGTCTCACTGGGGCTGTTTGCCTGGTTGGTAAGTGAGAACTTCCGTACGCCGCCACCTCTGCGCCTTCTTTCTGCTGCCATTCTGTGTCCTCCTCTCTGCTTGCGTCCTCTGGTGTCACTGCACATGACTGAGTGGACTCTCTTTGTCTTGTAGCTCTTTTCTGTGAGCCAGGCTGTGTCCAGCAGCGCGCATTCCTCCAAGTCTGCAGTAAACCACGAGTCTCACCTGTTGTCCTCCTCACCGCCACCTCCTCGTTTGTGGTGTCTGAATCCTCTTGTTGCCCTTCTCGTGCTCCCACCTCATCCTTAACTCCCGAAGATTTGAACAGGTTTAAGTGTTTTCATTTGACTGTCATTATGAGGAGAGTCTAGAAAGCAAGCCGAGAAGGTCTTGAACTGAGCTTTGTTTGTCCAGGAGCTTCTGGAACCTTCGAGGCATTGGTTCTGTGCCTTTCTATTGAGCCATGGTGGTGAACCACTGCCTGCACGTGCTGACTAGCACTTTGTACTCATGATGCCCCTGCTTGGTGTGAGGCCCCAGATCGAGTGGACGACTAGGAAACTTCTAATTGCAGAGGCGAGCCCGCATCTTCCTCCCGAAACTAGGAGAAAACCAGCTGAGTCATTGATGAGTGCGGCTGTAATTACTTTTATTTGTATCTAATTGTTGCCGTATTTAAATGGCAGTAATGAGCCTAATGGAATAACCCAGCTTAACAGCCTTTTCAAAATAAGATCTGATGAAGTCAAAATGAGTGCATGGAGAAAACTCCTGCCTCCTGCCCTTCTAGCATGCTTAACATTTGGATTTCATTTTTAAACCTTTAATTTTTATGTTGTGCATTGAGAAATGAAAGTGCCAGATAGTCTAGAACAAAGATAACGTGAAGGATGAAGGTTTTCCCTTTCCCAACCTGCAGACCCTTCCGTCCACAGAAGCAGGCCGTGAGCTCTGCTGTAGGGAGGGTAGGTGGCGTGGCCTCAACTGCCTGATGCTCGCCCCCACACTGAGCGCACCCCACTTGCAGGCGTGCTCGCCAGGCCCCCACTGGGAGCCTCGCAGAGCTGCCTCTGCAGCGGTGGGCAGGCCCGCCAGTCCCTGAGGCCAGAGGCAAAACTACTGGCCCTGTCCCAGCGCTCCCCTCACGGAGGCCAGAGTAAGTCCAGCCTCAGGCGAGAAGGTGGGAAGGAGATGCCGCCCTTTCCCTCAGCTTCAGCAGAGCACGTCTTCCCAGCTGCCGTTGCCCCAGATTAGGCTAAAGGCTCGTGCTGAGAACAGGCATCGCAGAAAGCAGATTGAAAAGGACGCATGGCTATACCATAATCTCGGAGGTCCCCGCTACAAAATGCAGATTCCCAGCCTTGACTTTCTGTCTTTGGCCCCAGACCCTCCTCTGCTCCGTGATGGATTGCATTCACGTGGCACCTGCGCTATGGGGAGGTGACTGCCACTTCTCTGTGGCACTGCAGAAGGAAGGGGGGCACGTTGGCATTTGTCTCCCGGGGCTGTGGCGGCTCCGAGGGGCTCCCCTGCTCCAAGGGCCGGGATCTCTCTCCAAGCCCTCCTGCAGCAATGCCAGGAGGCCTTGGTAGTGACACTGCCCACCATGAGCACTTCGCACAAGCCAGGTATACTCTCAGGGTGTTGTGTGTCCTCATTGAGTGAGTGCTGGCAGACAGCTCCTTGAAGGGGGTCCGACTATGTCCCCATGATGCAGATGAGCCTGAGGCCTGGAGCTAGTGCTAGGGGTTGATGCAGCTAGTGTTGAGCTGGGATTCGCAGCCCGACCCCAGAGCCCGCACCCTTACCTGCTCGGCCTCCCGCTGTCAGGTCAGGGTCCTTTGCTGCTATCCTTCTTGGGGGCTGGGAGGGGTGCAAAGAAGGAGTTCAGTAACCAAATCGGTGCATTAAAGAGTTAATCCAGCTTCAAGAAACGGCCAAGGTCAAATCAAGGAACCAAATTCCTCTCTGGGCAAAAGGTCATCTGGTATCTTTGACTAGTTCACTGAGCCGCCCTTCACTACGGCCAGCACAGGCCGTGAGGCTTCTGAAGGCCGTGTGCTGTCTGTCTTACAGAGGTCCAGCACCCCGTCCTCGCCCACTGGCACGTCATCGTCAGACTCAGGCGGGCATCACATTGGCTGGGGGGAGCGGCAAGGCCAGTGGCTGCGCAGGAGAAGGCTGGACGGGGCCATCAACAGGGTCCCTGTGGGATTCTACCAGAAGGTGTGGAAGATCCTTCAGAAGGTGAGCTTGGCCACTGTGCTGCAGCACACAGGCCTTGGTACTGGAGGACACGTGCTCCCAGGGAAGTGAACCGTCCCTTCTTACTCCCTTGGTGGGGGCGTGGTGGCACCTACAGGTATTAGGTAGCCTGCGACTACAGAACAAGCAGACACACAGCCCTGCCCTCTGGGAGCTCACAGCCTAGAGCAGGGTTTCTCCATCCGGGCACCACTGATGTCTGTGGCTGGGCAATGCTTTGTTGGAGCTGCCCTGTGCATTGTGGGATGTTAAGCAACATCCCTGGCCTCCACCCACTAGATGCCAGTAGCACCCCCTCCGCGAGTTGTGACAACCAAAAATGTCTCCAGACATTGCCAAGTGTCCCCTGGGCAGCAAATTGCCCCTGGTTGAGAACCACTGGCTGTAACCACAGCAAGTTAGATAAAGTGGCAGCCCAAGCTGTGTGGGACCACCTTTGACATATTTTAGGAACATAGAAAAGTCACAAGATAAACAAGAACCAGAGAAAACACCGTGACAGGTGACCTGGAACAGCCCCCCCAGGCCTGTATCCGAGCCATTCAGCAACGTGACAGAGTACCTCCTCTCTGCAGGGCACCGAGTGGGGTACTAAGGGCTGCCAGTCTGACCCTGAGTCCCAGGCGCCCTGAAGGCACTATCACCACACACCCTGGCAGCCTCTGCTTCCCCACCTGGAAGACCAGGGTTGGGGGGGACCTCCAGACCCGCTCCCCTTAGCCAGCTGGCTGCCACGCCTGTGGCCCTTAGACAGGCTGCGTTCTTAAAACATCAGCAGAGGTCATCAAAAACAGATGCAAGGTGACAGCCACAGCCTCCACTGCCTTACCTGAGTGTGGGAGAGCCCGCCCGAACGCCGAACGCCTGTTGCCAAGGAGGGGTCAGCGGGGGCAGCCATGCCCCTCTGCCCCTCACCCACGTTCTGTCTCCCTCTTCCATCAGCCCCAGGGCATTCATGTGGCTTCCTGGGTCCCACAGAGTTTGTCTTTCCTCTTGCATGGGGGGACAGTCTGCTTCAGTTACAAACTTCTATGCAAGCCGAGAACCAGGGGCAGGACTGATTTTTTCCTAAAACTATTTTTGTTAGCTCATTTCACAGTAGGAGAGGAGAGAAAAGTAATCCCAAATGAGTGCATACTACAGTCCCCTTCCGAAAGACACAGCACCCTTCGGCTGGGTCAGTTTGTGACAGTGGCCCCTGGCCCATTAGGGAGCCTTTAGCCTCTCTGCTGGGTAGGGATCGGAGTCTTCCTCGCAGAGCTGGGCATGGGGAGGTCAGAGCAGCCCCCATCTTTGTGCAGCTGGACTCCGAGTCCCCACATGGGGGCAGAGCCCTCAGAGCCCACGTGGCCTCTGGTTCTCCGTTCTCCGCCTCTTGTCAGGAGCACGAGCATTTCTGGCCGCTCTGTCCTCAGCCCACCGGGGACAGGGGTGGGGCCGCCACTGCTGGCCAGGGCACTGGGATTTAGAAGGCAGCCAATTAGACCAGAACAAACTGTTCCTAGAAAATCTCCCCACACTTCCTGGGGCATCACATGCTTCCCTCCAGATTTCCACTGGCTCTATACCAGGACACTTTTATTATGAAAAAGCAGCATCTTGTATCGAGCCGACGCTTGGTATTTATATACATGGGTGTGCATGTGTGTGTCTGTGCATGTGCTTGAGTCTTCTGTGATTGGTGCTTATTATAGAAACCTCAAAAATAGATGCCTGCAAAGGCACAGAAGTATCGCTTTGCCAGCAGGAGCCATGAAAATCTCCCTTTATATGGCACCAAAGGGGGCCTCAGCCGCCAGGGCTGGGCTGCCAAGTGCAATGCGGGCTTCCACAGAGGAGGACCTGGCAGCACCCTGGGGCATTATTCCTGCGAGATCTGAAAGATGCCTGCTGGTTCCCTAGAATTGTTCTATTGAAAACACAGCCTGTGGGCAGTGAGAACAAGCTCTCTAAAAATAACTCTTGAGAGTCTGGCGTGTTCCAGCCCTCGCACAGGTTTCCAAGGCAGAGCAACTTGAGTGTGTGTGCATGCATGTATGCACACTTATTAGTCACGTTCTGGAATCTGACTAAAATGTGATATGTGTATTATTCTGCTTCCAGTGCCATGGTCTGTCCATCGATGGTTATGTGCTCCCATCCTCAACGACACGAGAGGTACGATGGGAAAAGCCCGAACGCCGGGCTGCGCGGGTTTCCACTGAGGGCTTCATTTCAGCGACTCTAACCACTCGGGCTGCTTTCAAGCTTCTTACGTAGAAACAGGCCATTTGTAGGGCTGATCTTTTTTGCCGCTTAACCCTCAAATTTTGCAGTTTCTTTCCCACATTCATTAGCATCACCTTTTCTCCTTCCCCTCAGAAACAGCATTTCTGACTATCAAGATCTTTAGGTTTGCCCTTTAAACTCCTATGAGAAGAGCAAAGCCGCATGCCACACTCGTGGATCCACGTGCAGCCTCCTCTGGCCCCCTCTCTGCCAAAAGCAGCCATGTTCCTGGTGTCTTTTCCCCATTCTTTTAAAAATTGAGTTTTAGTTTTTATGCCACCCAAGGCATGATGCCATATGCTGCAAAGAATGATGAAGAAGAAAGACAAATAAGAAACGGTCCCTGCACCTTGGAAGTCACAGTCCAGTGGAGTGGGTAAATAAGGCTAGGACGAGGCCAGCTCCCAGAGCAGAGCTCCTGGCCTCCTGCTCCAGAGGATTCCTGCTGGCAGAATCTGGAAGTTGGCCAGAAAAGAGGCAGTGTCTGAGCTGACCCCAACCTTGATGGGTACTGTGTTCAGCATTGGTGACGGGGCTGTGTCTGTCCTGGCTCATTCCTGACCCCCTGCTGGTCCCTTTGGCAGATGACCCAGGAGGAGATCAAGTTCGCTGTCCATGTTGAGTCGGTGCTGAACCGCGTGCCCCAGCCCGAGTACCGGCAGCTGCTGGTGGAGGCCATCATGGTGCTCACACTGCTCTCAGACACGGAGATGAACAACATCGGGGGCATCATCCATGTGGACCAGATCGTGCAGATGGCAAACCAGCTGTTCCTGCAGGACCAGGTGGGTGTGCCCAGGCCCGCCCAGTCACCCCACAGCCAAGGTGGGGACAGAGGCAGGGTAGCCAAGATGGCTGGCATTTGTCTCTGTTGAGGCTGGAGATTCTGTGTCCAATAGGAAAGAATACTCTCAAACAAAGAAAATGTCATCACAAATTGTGAAAAAAATGTGGTTAGAAAATGGCACAGTGACTACTTAATGAATCCACAGACCTTTGGAGATGGGCAGACCCATTTCAGCATAGGTCTTAGTGCAAACACCACCCTTGCTATGAACAGTCATGTGTCACTTAACAGTGGGGACACATTCTGAGAAATACGTCACTCAGCGATCTCGTTGTTGTGCGAACATCATAGAGTGTACTTACACAAACCTAGATGGTATTGCCTACTATACACCTAAGCTACATGGTACTAATCTTATGGGACTACCGTCGTAGATGCAGTCCATCGTTGACCAAAACCTTGTTACATGGCACATGACTGCATACGGCCCTGGGTAAACAAACCACTTACCCTGCACCCAAAGTTGAGCTGGGAGAAGCTGTCCTCTCACTATCGAGTCCATAATGCTGTGCGAACTAGGGCATGTGGGAACACAGTGCAGTGCTGGCAGCAGAGGCTGGATGTCCTCCCCTGTGCTGTCGGCTCTCCTGCCCTCAGGCTCTGAGCTCTTCTCCCCAGGCCATGAGTGGGCCTCTAGCGACCAGCCTCCAGCACACAGAGTCACCCCAGGGCCACAAGGGTGAACTCTGCTCATTCCTTGTCTCTGCCTTTTCATGCTGCAGATGTCAATTGGAGCCATGGACACCCTGGAGAAAGACCAAGCCACGGGCATTTGCCACTTCTTTTACGACAGTGCTCCGAGTGGGGCTTATGGGACAATGACCTACCTGACAAAGGCAGTGGCTTCTCATTTGCAGGAACTGCTGCCCAATTCAGGCTGCCAGATGCAATAGTGCCTCAGCACTCTGAGTCTGTCACTTGCCCCCTAGCCTCACTGGGAACTTCCGTCTGTTACCCAAGATCCCCTGTGCTGTTGCAAAAGCATGTCCCATCAGAATTACTGGCAGGGAGGAGATGGCAGTGACTGACCTGAGACCAGTGCATGTCCAAGCCACAGAAAGAGCCGATGACTCCTGTATTCCCCCAAGGAGCACCGTGGGATCACTGTCTAGGCCGATTTTGCTGGAACATTTGTCACAGCAGCTGGGCTCCTAGAGTCTGAGGAGGAATTGGAAATCGGTCTCGAGTGCAGAGCGAACTGAGAAGCCAGCTTAAATTGGCTCTCGCAGAGTTACTGAAATAGTTGGATGAGCTAGTGACACATCTTAAAGACGGAAAGATCCTTCCAGCAGCAGTAGCTAGATGAGCGGACCTTGACAAGGGCACCATCTTAACAGGATTCAGTCTGTGGACCAAACTGTTTACCAAATAGAACAATACTCTTTCTATGGAATTCTGGTTTTCTTGTGCTTTGCTTTCTTTCTTGGCCTCTTGTTTCATTGGCATGGCTATCTTCACGTGACATAATTCTCTCAGCAAGATTAAGAAAATTGCTCCCAGTTAACTTTGGCTTATGGTCTTCAAGGATTTTATCCTGGCCACCAATGAATTAAGGGTTTCTCCTACTATATGAAAAATCCCATTTTCCAGAGTCTAGCCAAAAAAAAAAAGGCAGGGCGTAGCCAACTCTTACAGCTGGGCAAACCGTTGTTTTGGGGCTAGAGCAGGCAGGAAGTCCCTCTGGAAGGCCTGTGCCCCACCTCCCATGGGCTGATCACCCTGGCAGGTGACGGTACTTTCCCCCTGTGCTCCAGGGCAGCTGCACGATGACCACGCAGCCCAAGATGCCATGGCAATTAGTGGTGTGCTCTGGCAGAAACAGCACTTCCCTCTTACGATGGAGCCAGGCTGAGGACTCGAGCCTCCTCGTGGAAGCACCTGAACTTAGCACTCTAAGGTGTGTGTGGAGTAGGTAGGTGTGGTTGGAAGCCTTGGATGTCGAGGAGCAAGGACAAATCCTGACAGGGCAGGGCCTTGCCAATCTTTTGCCGATGTCCTGGTGGATGGATTTCCCTCTAGGAGATGTCTTACCTTGGGCGGGCGGCAGGGCAGGGTGAACAACAGGGAAACAGTTTCTGTGAATAGTGGACCTGGAAGGACTGTCACCTGGTGGCCAAATGGTGAGCTCTAGCTGGTTGAGTGATGGGTTAGATTGGCGATGACTCTGCCTCTGAAACAGGAACGTGGCCATTGGATCTTTGCTTGGAAGTTTATGCGAAGGTGAAGAAAGCTGATGCTCTAGCCGCTTTAAGGGGACATTGCGGTGCTTGCCACCCCTCAGAGTCAAGATGCAGTACTGACAGTTGTTCTGGAAGCAGACGGAAGGAAGGGTGGCCTCACGTTCTGACGCTGCCTGCTAAAGAGCCTCTCTTCAGTCCAAGCCAAATACTTTGTAGTCGCCCCGGGAGAGGCGGTCTAGAACACGGTCTCAGTGCACTCACGGGCTCGGCGGCGTACAGGCACCGCTCACCTGGGACTTCAGTGCCTTTGTTTTGTCTCTTCGAAACCACAAAACTTTCCTCGCTGAAGTAGTCGTTACATAAGTGCAGAGGCCCGAATCACTAGATTTCTGCTCCGGTGGACTTCCGCAGTCCCTCGCTCCTCTTTCCCCCACTTCCTATCCATGTCAGCGTGTAAAACCTTTCTCCTTGGATCTCTAGATCCTCCCTCCCTTCATTCGTCAGCACGTGTTGAATGCTTTCTGTGTGCAGTTAGAGGAACATAAAGATAAATGAGACATGACTCAGTGCCCAAGGACCTCGCACTACTGAGGAAGCCCAATGTGGAAAGGTGGCCGTGCTTTAGTGGGGCAGGGACAGTGTTGAGACACGGACGTGGCGCAGGGCCGGCAAGGTGGGGCCTGCCCAGAACACTGGCATTTGCGGGACAGATCCCAGAGACAGCGTGGGCAGCCTGGCCTGCAGCTCTGGCCCATGCGGCACCATGCCTCACCCCCCGGATCCTGCAGTGCCCTGGAGCCTTCCTGTTGGTGCCCCGTCTTCCCTGGGAAGCCTGTTTGCTCCCATTTGCCTCTGAGGGTCCAGGAGGGTCAACAGTCACCCAGATTCCTAGTAGCATTTTCATAGCCTTTATTTTTGGTGTCTTTAAGACACGCTTGACATAAGCAAGGCTCATGTAATTCATGTAAGAAAGGTACACGCTGTGCAAGTCCCAGCTGCTCCTTGGGAGAAGACTCGGGAAGAGCTACAGTCCTCCAGAATGAGCCAGGAGTTAATTTAGAACATCACCTGCCTGTGGATGACGTGCAAAGCCACAGACGCCATGTTTGGGCTCACCGACCAAGATGCAGGCTGGGAGAAGAGCCATAATAAGCAATTCAGATGAGCCTTCGATTCACTCCTGAAGCCTCTTTCAAATGAAATCCTGAAATAGTACCGCATTTCCACAGGCATCAAGCTGTCAGCTTTGAAGAAGGAGAACAGGCTTCTGAGGCTTAATCCCTTTGACGAGCAGCTGAGGCCCACGCCAGGAAGAGCAGCAGGTGTCTCGGCGGGTGGTAGAGGTCCCGTCCTGCCACCGTTCTGGCCTCAGCAGACTGGGCTTCCACGGCAGGAGACCGCCGCCTGGCAGCCCCTACAGCTTCAGGTCTGGGCTGGCTGGTTCTCCACCCCACTGCTCTTTCCTAACTCCCTCCTCTAGCAGAGAGGCCACTTTTGACCTTTGCTAGGGCTGGGGGGTAGCTGTTCTGTCTCAGAGCCAGAAACAAACATTTCTTTTAACATCCTCAGTTGAAAGGCAGCCAGCCACCCTACCTGCTGCTCGCCCTGGCTTTGACCCGGGTAAATCCAGCAGCAAGGAGGAAGGCTCTGTCTCTGAGTCAGACAGACTCACCAACACCAGCAGCTCTGTGACCTGGGGTGAGTTACTCAGCCTCTCTGTGCCTCTGTAAATTTGCCCATCTGTAAGTGTGCAGGAGGCCCACACCCAGGCACAGCAGTGAGCACCAGGGAGTCAGGAACCCTCCCAACTCCCCCGCCTCTGGCAGTCGGGGGGCCAGGGGCTTCCTGTTCCCCGAAGCCAGGTATGCCCAGTGGCAACCCCGGGCTGGTGGGGGGAGGAGGACGCTCTTCCTATCACACAGGGTCTCCTGGGTGGGCGTCTGTCAGGAGGCCAGTTAGAGCTTCCGCACCTCTGCTGAGGCCAAGGGACTGGAAGGAGAGATTGTCAGGCGTTAGCTGCCTGGATAGGGAGGATGTAAATGCTCCCCATGTAAAAATAGCAAAAGAAAAGAGACCAGACGATCAGGAGGCAAGAGAAACAGTTCGTCAGTTGATTGATGCCATTTATTTCTGGACAAGACGACAGGAGGCCTGGCCTCCCTGGCTGTCAGTTACAGCAGAACCATCGTTCAGTTCCATTGACTGGGGCACAAGTCTGGCAAACAGCTTTTGTCTTCTCTGCTTCCTTGCTGTCAGAGGGAACAAAAGCTCCCCACCCCTCCTTTGATGCCCTTATCTTTCAAGGCGACTCTTCTGCTTTTGAAGTTGCTGCCATCTGTTCTGTGTGTCTCTGTACTTTGCATGGTCCCAGAATGCCTTCTGCTCTCTCAGACTTGGCCACTGATAGCTCTGCCTGTGAGGGGAAGTAAAGCTGCGTTGTCACCATCTTAGACCCCTTTGTCCCCCTCAGAAAGCCATTTAGGAAAAGTCATGTCCTTGAGTTACCAAGAGAGTTCTCTGAGGAGTGAGAAGGCCTGACACTGCAGGCGGGACTCTTCGAGTCAGATGCGTCCCGAGCATTTGCCTGATGGTTTGGGAGAGGGACAAATTCCATCAGCAAACAACCATGTGTGTGTTTTTAAGGAACATATGTGCAATTTTGGCAAAAATGCCTTCTGAGGACTGGAACCATCGAAACCAATGAACTCTGAAGTCATGTGTTCATCCCTCTGCTTTATTGCAGTATGTCACCTATTCTGAAAGATGAATTGCTCAGAAAGCATTTATCGTGGGCCTACTCTGGGCCAGGCATTGCTTGGCATACAGAAATATGGACTAGTCTGGTGGGGATGAAAAAATGTGTCTCCTGTTTGTGAAAACCTCTAAGGAAGAAGATTCTCCAGCCCCCTGTGAAGTGTTCCCAGCTCTGGTCTTCCAGGACAGCCATGCCTCAAACCTAAATCTGAGCAGCTTCGGCTGTCTCGGTGGGGTTGCTGCCAGATGCCTTCACCGGCAGCTGATGCAGCTGAGGTGCCAGGCTTTCCAAAGGGCACGGTTTTGCGTTGTCCATGTGGGACCAAGCTGCATTGGCATTGGGCACTGGGCAGTGGTTGTGCCTGCCTTGTCCCCTTTTTTGAAAGACCTTTCCAGATACAAACTCAGGATAGACTTGCCAAGGAGAAATCCCAAGTCATGGCTCTCATCTCTCGTAGTCTCAGTATCACTGTTGGCCAACTGTCCGAGTTCTTATTTTCAAATAACAGAAAGCACCTCTGACTGGGGAGGATATCGGATAAGTCACATGATCACCAGGCTTGGCAGCTCACCCGCCAGGGACAAGGCCCCACGTCACTCTCATGGGCTCAACACCCTGGGGCTGGCACCACCGATGCCCCCACCGCCAGCCACTAAGACCATCGCCTCTGCTCTTTTGGAAACGAAATATAGAGGCTGCCACCTGTCACAGAGCGGGTCTCATGCGGCCACTAGCTGTGCATTCCGTCTCGGGCAGGTGCGTTGCGTGGGCTGGGGCGGTTGTTGGTTGTGAGGGCAGCTGGAAGAGCCGCTGTCTGAGCGTTCCTCCTTCTAAAGTGGAGGTGGCGTTGGCTTCCTAACGTGGGCGATCCCCAGACCTGGGGAGGGGGTTCAGATGCTGAGTAGCCAAAACTAAGTGTCCACTGTAGCTAGGACTCTCGGCTTTTATTCTTTTGTCCGGAAAAGAAGGACCTGTCTCCCACCCCCACCCCGCGCTGAGAGCTGACCTGAGAGGCGGGGTCGCCCTCTGGGGAGGGTTGTACAACAGAGTGAAGAGGAGCATGCGAGTCACCTCCCTGCCCCTCTGGGCTCCAGCTGGGATAATACAGCTTCTCTCTTCAGGTCAAAATGTTACTAAGTCATAGTGGCTGGACAGCTGCTGCTGCCCGGGCCGCCAAGCAGACCGCATCCCGCCGCCCAGCTTCCAAGGAGCTGTCACGAAACCTCGCAGCGGAGCCCTGCACGAATTGCCAACGTGCCTCGCATCTTTTCGTGACCACTAGCCCAGCCCAGCCCCATTAGCCTTTTTCTGGACCCTGAGTGACAGCCCGTCTGGGACAAGACGCAAGTGATAGTCACATCTTTCCTTCTAAGTCTTTAGCCAGCTGGGGGATTTAAAAATAAAGAACGGAACTGATCCGAAGTGTCAGCCTCTCCTGACAGTGTGAGTAATTTCCCCCGCTGTCACAGGGCCTCGCTCCCTGAGTTCTTGCAAGCATCCGAGTCACTCTCCTGGGCTCAAGGGAGCACAGCCATCGAGGTGAGTCGGCCTTTCCCTGCCTGTCCCCTCCCCTCCCTCTCCCTCTGTGGCAGCCGGCAAGAGCTCCCCGCTGCACTTCTTTCTCCCTCATCAAGCACAAGAGATCCAGAGCTAAAGCGGCCCGGCAGCTCCAAGGAGGCTGGAACAGGGCACTGCGCACACCGCCGGGTGAGGCGGCATCTCGTGATGGGAGATGGAGCAGGCGGGCTCAGCAGGGCCTTGGATGCAGAAGCATCGGAGCTTGTGCTGTCCTCGCTGCCTGAATCTCCAGAAATCTCTGGGCTTTTCATCCCCCAAAGCAGTGAGCTAACTTATGCTGGGGTGATGGCACACACACACGCGCACACACACAGAGCTGTGTGTTTCTGTCCCCAGACTCCTGATGGAGACTGGAGATAGCTTTTGTGCTGTCAGCACACATTCCTGTGGCAGGCGCTGTGCTTAGCAGGCTGGAGGGCAGACGGCTCCGTGCCTAGTAGGGGAAGGGACAATAAGCAAGTTGACAGGGAGAGAGGACTCCGATCAGAGCCCTGGGAGAGGAGGGTGCACTGAGCATGGGGCCAGTGGGGGCTTCACTGAGGAAATGATGCTGGAACCGGGTGGGGGTGGAGAGGTCTTAGCAGAGCCTCTCCTCACTCAATCTCAGGTACCACTGCTCCATCAGGACAGCCCTGTTTCCTCGTGATGCAAGGGCAAAAGAGGAGGGCCAGGCTGCGCCGCGCGGGAAGGATTTGCACGGGAGCACGTTGACTCCTCCAGACCCTGCCCTGGGTGTGATGGGCCCTGCACCCCAAGCAGGTCAAGGATGAGCAAACTACTCACCTGCAAAACATTCTGGGCCACAAGGCAAGAGTTCCTCGAGAATATAATCCATCAGTATCGGACTACATCCTATAGATGTCAAAGCACCGTGCTTGGGGTGGGGGCGGACAGCTAGGCAAGGTCAAGGCCATGGACAAGAATAAAGCAGACAAAGAGGGCAGGGAGGCCTGGGGGTGGCGGGGACTATCATATGGGATGATTGGAGAAGACCTCTGACAAGGCAGGATTTGATCAGAGACCTGGAGTAAGTAAGGGCCTGAGCCATGCAAGGGAAAAGCATGCCAGGCAGAGGGAACAGCCAGTGCAAAGGCCCCAAGGCAGGAGTGCACCTAATGTGTTTGCAGAACAGGAAGGAGGCCAGAGGGCCAGGAGTGTAACCATCAAGGGGAGGAGTGTAGACTTTGGCTTTTGTCCCAGTCACTGGGGGGTCTGGGACAGAAGAATGACCATTATTGCCAACCCTTACAGAGAGAGATGCTTGAAGGGGAAACAGGGCCATGGGGCAGCAGCCAAGACAGAGGGGAGGAGGGCTCCATTGTAGAGTGGGCTTGGAGGGACTGCGTCTGTCCGAAGGCAAGAGGGGAAGGGAGCATGCGCTGAGGCAATTTAACTTCCTCCACCCCTTTTGTGAAGCCCACAAGCTTCCGGAGCAGCCCCTGCTTTGCTGCTGTTTAGGGCAGCCGGAAAATGGAAGCTATCGAATGACTGAATGACAGAGGCAAACTAGTCTTGCTCCCTTCCTCAGCCCTCCTCCCCCATCTCAGGCCTAACCCGTATGCCTCTTAGACTGCTTCCTTGCAGACATGGACACGCGTGTACACAGGCAGAGGCAGACACTTCCAGCCATGGGGCTGCGATTCCTGTGCCACGTGAGGCGCCTCAAAGGAGCCTGTGGCTGGGAACGATCCCCAGGGCTCACCCTCAGGCTCGGCTTCGCCTGTCCTCACCTGCCCTTGCAGGAGTTTCTCCCCCGCCCCAACCCAGTGGACGTCAGACCTCTTCTCTGCCATCCATGAGCGCCCACCTGCCTTTCAAGTCAGGGCCTTAGAAAGCACGAGAAAGACTGTGGGGCTGAGGCCTTCTAGGTTCACAAGGCGTCATGTTCTGCAAGTCGTTCAAAGGCTGCTTCCTCTGCACTTTAAATAGATGTGCTGTGCTGGGTTTTCAATTTGACGCATTTCTTTTTTTTTGAACTTAAAAAAGGCACAATGGAAAGCAGGCAAGCAATGCAGTGAGTCACCCCGGGAGGAGGGGGGCGCTGCCTGCCGGGAGCTGTGGTCAGGGGAACGTTGCAGGCGGGTGGAGAGAGTGAAATATGGGTGGAGAGTTGAGGCCAACAGGATTGGCTGTGCGGAGTCCCTGGAATTAGTGACTTTGTCTTCTGTGAGACTGACATCTGGGCAAACCTCAGGTGTGTTGGAAAGGTCAAGGGCGGCGACAGAGGTCTGAACTGTACCTCCGGTCAAGTAACAGAGCCCTGGGAGCCATAAAGGACACGCCTTTATCGTCCTACATTTGCTTGTTAGATGCCCAGTATTAGCACCAGGCTCTTACAGGTGGAGAAACCGAGGCTCAAGAGGCTTGTGAATTTCACAGCTTCTCCTGCGTTAGATCAGGACGAAAGCCAATGTTTTGAGATCCTCCGTTTATCTAGATCTGGGCAAAGAACACTGCATTTTCCTTACAAATCTACCTCAGAAGAGAGGCTCATTTTCCTAGTTTGTACAGGTTTGGCTGTAGATACAGAGAGAAATCATGCAGGGGACGGGAATTCTCAGTTGAGCTACAGAGATTCAAAAGCCCAGCATTTGCAAATGGGCAGCCGGGGCAGCACATGCGCTCACCCAACTTAAGGACCAGACACACCCGACAGAGGCAGTCGCTGGGCCTCAGGGCTAGTCTGACAGTGCTCCTCAGCCTGCGCAGGCCCCAAAGTGGCACCCCTCTCTTCGACCACCTCCTGGGCCCCCTGGCCCTTTCCCCACCAGGTGTTCTGGGGTCAGCTGGGCAAGAAGTCAGATCATGCTGCTGCTTAGAGATGGGCACACTTGGATTATACATCATTTCTTGGTGCCTCAGTTTCCTCCTCTGTGAAATGGGATGGCGATTATATAAACCATTTTCACTGGGCAGTTCCAGAGATTAATCATTATATATATAATGACATCATGATAACGTATATAAGCCACTGGCACATGACAGCAGCTCAGTAGACAGTGGCTACAGTCACCCCCCCGTCCTGGTGGCCCCCATCTAGATCTGCAGACCCCTCATCCGCAAGGGAGGCAGCCCAGGCACTTATGAATCTGGGTTTTGCATTCAGACAGGCTACTTGTTAGCTGCGTGGCCATGGATGGCCAGTCACTCTGAGCCGCGTTTCCTCATTTATCAAATAAGGATGACAATAATCTTAATGCAAGGTTTACAGGACCATTAAAACATTTTTAATTCCCATTATCTAATTTTTAAAGAGAAGTCTCTCAGGACTGCACCCTAGCAAAGCTTGGCTTAGCCCACTTCAGGCGTTAGATCCCAACACTAGAGAGGTTGAGGTTACTGCCCTCTGCTCCGCCCTGAGCACGGCTCTCTGCTGTGGACCAAGGAGGAAGCAGGACGGACAGAGGCAGGGATGGCACTTTTGGGAGGCAGAGCAAAGGGCTTCAAAGCCCCATCTTCATCTTCAACTTCTGAATTCCTTCTTCCTCTTGGAACTTGTTGCCAAGGGCCTCGTGTGACAAGGGAGGTCTGGGGCCTCCCACTTACTTGGGAGAAGTCTTGCTGCCCTTGGAGAAGGGAGCACCTGGCATGGGTGCAGGCCGGGGCAGCAGCTGAGAGCCAGGGCCCCTGAAATCCTCAGGCTGCATAGGGGATCCAGGCCAACCTGCCGGTGGGGCCACCCCGCAGAGCTTGGGGCTGGAGAGCTGCAGGACACAGAGTTGCTTTGCCTGAGACCACGAGAACTGCCCCGTGTCCAGAATGGTTCAGAGCTGGTGACCTGCCTGGTCCACCTCTTCATAAATTAGGCTTAACGATAGCAACTCCATCTCGTGTGGCTGTTGCAAGGATTAAACGTACTAATATTCTTCAAGTGCTTGGATGTCACCTGGCACCATAATAAGTGCTAAATAAATGTTTGATTAAAAAAATTTGATAGTGAGGGTAAAGCTCCTGGAACCTAGCAAACTTTCAATGAATTCCTGCTTAAAAACAGCCCCCAAGTGCTTTCTCTCCCCTTCTGTCCTCATTCTAGCCCGTCTCCTGTTTCCTTTGCGACGCAAGTCACTGAATCGTTAGAGGGAAGAAGCCTTGAAGGTCATGGGTCATTCCCAGCCCTTTCAGAGGTGTTTCCATATCATTAGTCACACTTCGGTCTCAGCGAAAGCTCTAACCTGTGGAATTCTCAGCCTCTGAGCTCGACAGTGTGATGCGGCGAGAACAGGTGAAAGGAGACTGGAGAGCACGAGGCCCTCAGCCCGCCCGTTGTGTTTTCTGCCTTAGTGCTGGCTGGCACTGCTCCTGGAACTCTGGGAGGCAGGATTGTACACAAGATCTTCAGTCATCTCTCACGATACTTTCAGCTGTACTTCATAGATTACCCAGCTATCAGTGGCTCAAACAATAAAGACATTTATCATCTCATTTAACAAGTCTGGAGCTGGGAGGTTGCAGGGTTGGTTCAGCGGCTCGACAACGTCAGGAAGGATCCATGCCCTTCCCATCTTCCTTCTCCATCATCTTCAGAGCATGGTGTTTTCTCCTGCGTGGTTGCAAGATGGCTGCCACACCTCCAAGCATCACATGCTTAAAAGACAACATCCAGACCAGGAAGGGGGAGGCAGGGCCTTCTTATTGCACTTCTCTCTCTCTTGCTTCTCTCTCCCTCTCTCCCCCTCCCCCTACCCAATCCAGGCAAGGAAGTCTTTCCCAGAAGCCCCCTAGCAAACTTTCCCTAATTCTAATTGGCCAGAACTGAGTCAAATGCCTGTTTTAGACTGATCCCTGGAAAAGACAGTAAGGATTAACCAGATAGCTTTAGAACTATTGTAGTTCTCGACCTAGAA